TATCGGCATGGAGACGGTGGCGAGAGACGAGTCGAGGGCAAACATGTTTTCGCTGGGAGAAAACAAGATCTGAGATGATTTTCTTTTACACGTCTTTTTTGTATTGCAGGCGTTGGTGAGCATACGTAGACGACCATTGAGCCGGTTTCCTATCATTTCGCGTTGCTTTTAACTTTCTCAGATATACCCATTCGCTTTCTGCTTTGACTTTACTTCTTTTTCCTTGTTGTTGCGATTCGTTGCCCATTCGAGGCTGCGAGCTCAGCTCTTGGCCTGGTTTGACAGCTCAATACAATTGATTTGCTATCCTTTAAATAACTCCTCTCGGGTGATTTTTCTCTCTTTTCTACTCGCTGTGAGGTAGAAAAATTTGAAGTCAACACTTTTGTGATATCGTCATTCATATTCAAACAGAGGGAGTCCACCACAAACTGCGATTTCAACCTGTATAGGTATCAACACCACGGAGCATATTCTAGAACACGTCGGTAACATTAACTGGAATATTTTAGAAACATTCCGACATGTATCCTCGTCAAAATGGAATAATATGCTTGTCCAGTACCACTTTGCCCGGCCGTTTTGGCGACCCCTCCGCCACAGCGTGTTGGTCCGGTCGTCCGATGATGCTGCAGATTGGGTTACGGGAGGCCGACCACCAAGGTCATCATGACCTTTGAGCGACCACTTTGGGCTCATAAAGAGGCAGAGAGATGCTTCGAGTGCCTTGTTGCCTGTCTGTTGGTGCAAAGCCTCTCTGGTTTGCCTAACTGAGAATTTATTTAAACCCTTTGCTGCAAAGTCAAGTCGAGAGAGCAGCACAATCGACATTGGTTTTCATACCTTTCTTAACTTGCAGCTTTTGATTCGCGGCTGCGTGCGGCCTCGTTCAATTTCAAAGACCGGAGCCATGGTATCCTACAAGAATTCTCCCATCGTACATTCCCGACTATTCTCTTCTCCTGAGGAGGCCAGCAATACCTGCATCACATGGGCACAGGATAGGCGCAACTGGAAGCCCTTCCCCGGGTCCTTCTATGTCGGAGACATCGACGTCCCTCTTCTCAGAACTTGGGATGACAATTCAGGAAGCATCCCAAGTATGATAACCGGGGACATGCTTGCCAGAGACTCAGCTCAGCGACTGCACACTGACGAGGTGCGAAGAAAGACCCTAGAACTTCACCTCAATCACAAAAACTGGGGTGTTGACACACCCTACATCTCGTTTCAAGCCTCAGAACAAGACCTACAGCGATTGGCAGACTATAGAAAGACCCGTCGATACAGGGAAAAGCAGACCATCACAGTGATTGACCCGGAAGTTCGTCTCAGAGCCGGCTGGCCTGTTCTCTGTGTCGGGCGGGAGATGGAGTACTATGGCATCACTCAGGACCCTTACCGAAATCCACCTAGGGTGCATAATAATCACTATGTCTGTCTTTGGCGGGTTGAGAAGGAGGAGGTTGTCGGCCATTGGCTTTGGGACGACCTTTCCCAGAATCCTGACTGGTATAAGACCGAGATTCTTCCTGCGTTTCGAGAGTTTCGCCGAAAGAGGCGACAACGCGAAGAGGAGCAGCAGAGGCAGCAAGCGTTGGCGGATAACCAGGTGGACGATATCTTGGGCGCGATGGGCGCGCTTGGATGTAAGTTGAACCAAGCTGTTTCATGTCGGAGCTAACCAAGACGATTGTAGTGAATGATGCCGGAGCCAGTCCTTCATCGGAAAACCTCTCCAGCCAGTCTACCCGGGGAGGCGACCCGTCCGATGATTCTGGTATTGGCAGCGATGATGAACCGGAAGGGACAAGTATACGGGCAATGCTCTAAACTGTGTGTGATGAGTGACGGAGCATTATGGACTGACTTATCTGGGATGTGTGTTCATGAGTTTCTCAATGGCTCTTGGAATGCCGTCTGCAGGCGCCGTCAAGTTAAAGGCCATGAAGGGAGCACGGGATCGAGATGCTTCACTTGTTGGACTTTGAACGTTTGTATCTTCCTTGCGTTGTAGTGTATGCTATATGATACCTTGAATTGTCGATGATAATTGTGTCCGGCTTACTCGACCATTGAAGAGTGTTTGTTACGATAAGCTGCCCCTGTTGCTGAACATCGCTGAGCTGTGTTCAAAGGGGGTTTACTAGCTACTTTATGACCTACCATTGCCTAGATACTTTGTAATCTCCCATAAGCCTGTATCAATGGTGAATCAGGGGACATTGGCTGATTCTGGAGCGAAGACGTGCCCTTTGAATACCCCAGATAACCATATCACAAGAAATTGAAGGGTTAAATGGATGGCTTCACCTCTACTAGCCCCCGAGAAACTTGTAAACAACATTCTTATGAGTATATACGTCGAATAACCACGTTGTCATGAATGTATGAAAAACATATGCTCCCCGAAAGCGGATCATGAGCCTGGTCCATCATGCAAGGACTGTGTCAATGGTCGACGTCTTCTCATTTTAAGCTTCTTAGTGCCCTTGAAACTATTGAGACCGACCAAGAGCCTTTCGGACCGAAAGAACCTGGAGATAACCTTGCAGCAAGGGATGTGACTTGAGAAAGGTAAAGGGGCTAGGGGGGCCAGCTCAAAAGGTTGATATGGCTAGATTTGGATGACACCTGCGATAACGCGGCAACAGGGAAGGATGACAATAATACCGAGAATTCCATAATATCGATAAGTCTACAGTTTGATTCTAATTTGACAATTTACTGCAATCATCGAGCCTTGCTTGAGGAATGACTTGACGCCTGGTGTTGATGGCATCTGGAAGACTTGCCGGGGTTGAGACCCGCTATGCAATAATCCGAGCTTAAGGTTCAGCATCCATCAACACCCAGGTGTCGCATCGCATCGCATCAACATCACCAACAACGCCTTTCGCATCCCCACGAATACCCTCATAGCACATCCCATCTAGCAACAATGGTACCGTCCTCCGTCTTGCCGTCTGCACTTCAATCGCTAACCCATTCCAGGCCGACAAACTCCGCACCCAGCAAGAACTCGAGCGCCTCCAGGCCAAGTACATCGGCACCGGACACCCAGACACGACGAGCTGGGAGTGGCGGACCAACATCCAGCGCGACACGTACTCTTCCATCGCCGGCCACCGACCGCTCCTCTCGTACATTGCGCTCGCCGAGAACGAACCCCTCGTCAAGGTCCGCGCCCAGATGATTCGAGTATGTCTCTTTCCCTGGGATGGTAATGATGGCGATGTTGACTTTTCTGTAGAAAATGGTGCAGCCTTGCGGACCGCCGCCACAGCGCGAAGATTAATACGTGTACGATTTGGATATGCGAACGAGGCCCTGGGCGCGATCGCAGAGATTTCGGCTTTGTTTGGGTTTCATAGAACGGCGTCAAGGAACGATACCCCCCGCAAGAGGGAGGATAAATGGCATAAAAACGATTCTAGTTGCATTTATATACGCAGTCTCAACATGCCAGAGTCTGCTTCTTTCAACACATTGGGTATCATATCGTCGACATCAGCGCTTCATTCCACCATGGTGGTGTCTCCGTCCTGCTCGTCCTGCTCATCGTCGTCTACGCGCTGATGTTTGATGTTCAGACTCGAGCGCAGCTTCTTCTCCATGTCCTCGCCCCAGCTCTCGCCATAGACCTCTCGCACCATGCCCATGACTCCATCAAGACCAACCTCTTCTTTCGCGCGCGGGCCGACATGCCATGTGATTGTGTGATCTCCGTCCTGGCCTGCGAGGGGCTTGTCAACCCTCTTGATCACGTATCCCTGCTTCTCCATCTTCTTGAGTATCACTTCCGTCTTGTCCATGGAAACGTTCTGGTCCGCGTTCAGCCGTGTGAGATAGCGCTGTAGCTTCTGCTCGCTCAGTTCCCCGCCATTGAGCCAGATGGTTGAGATGACAAGCGTGTAAAAGGCCGAATACGTGGCTTCGTCGTCTGCGCTTGGGGTCTTGGACGGTTGGAGGATGGCCGCGGTTCTGTAGGCTTCTGGTAATGTCGATGTGAGGATGAAGGCGTTCGAGTTTGCCTTGGGCTGTGACTGGCTCTTCATTGCTACAAAATGTCAGAGATACTCTTGATGTCCTAAAGTTGGCTGGTCCTACCTTGCCGTTTCTCGTGGAGAGTCATCTTCTCCCTCACGGGCAGCTCTCGTAGCTCCATGCCCCAGACCTCTCGTAGTTGCTTTTGCGCCAAGTCGAAGACGCGCTTAAAGGAGCGCCCTTGATTGCCGAGAACTGAGAATTCATAAGCAACGCTGTGAAAGCTAATTCCATGTGCCATTACCTCGCTCCTTAATACCATCTCTTCGGATGGTTGTTCTGGAGTATTCACACGAAATCGCATATCGAACCAACTTCTTGGCCATCTGCTCGTCGGCGCTCCGGCCAGGGTGTTGGTTCATCTCTTCGTCGTCACGCTCCTCGTCGTCCAGGTCGTCTTCGTTTTCTTGGTCGTCCAGAGAGTTCCGACGGCGTTGACGAGGACGAACATCCTCTTCAGATCCATCGTCCTCAAGCTGTATAGTGTTAGCCTGGTCCTTTAGTGAATCACAGCAACTCACGGCACGAGCACGGCGGTTTCTTTGAGGGGGCATGATTTGTGTACTATTTCGATATTAAAACAACAGTAGAATTACAAACACTCCAAGAATTGGCATGTAACGATGAGAGTAGAGACAAAGAGAGTTGGAGGGGCATGTACGCGACGCGTTGGAGCCAATTAACTTTATCTTATCTTATCTCTTATCGGCCACCAGCAAAATTTCTTAGAGCCATTATTCTCTTAGAAGCTCCCACTTGCCTCGTCGCATTTTTGCCCACTTCAAGGGACTTTGTCCTCAATTGCTTTAATACCCATGATATCAAGGGCGGCGCGTGTGCCGCAAATTCGCCTGGCATGTCGGTTTGGCCTGACCCAGCGCAGTGCCGTACTAGGCTTTCGCGCAGCCCCAATTACACAAAGTCTCAGTCAACGACGACGGTATACTTCGGAGATGGGGAAGACGGGCGATGGCAAGATTGAGAGCTTTGTTACAGGCGCGAATATCCCGGTCGAATCGAAATCAAAGGAAGAGGAGTCTCGGGAACAAACAGAGACTGTAACCAAGCCGGACGATACTACGACAGACTTAAAAAGCTCTTCCAAAGCCGAGACGACTTCCGAAACCGCTCCGAAGCCTCAAGACGATCAAGATGTGAAGCAACCCTCGGGTACTCAGTCTGAACCTCCTTCGACCGAATCTCTCTCAGAAAAACCAATCGATTCAGTGCAAGAACCCCGAGATGAGACGACGACCCAAGCCTCTGCTCCCGCCTCTGCAGAACTGCCCCTCGACTCGTCCGACAAGAACTTGGATTCTTCAGCCGAACACCTTGCGGAGAGTTCTGAAGATAGCATGTTTGAATTGCCTGAACTCCCCGAGCCGGAACCAAGCATATTGCCGGCAAAGCAGTTCCGCCACGCCCTCGTACACGACGAGTCTTTGGGAGTGTCGGCGCTTGGTGTCCCTGCCGACGCCATCATTATCAACAACCCGAACCAGATACGCCGCTCCAAGAAAGCCCCCACCGTGGTTAAGTCTCAGCCCGTTCAGCCACCTTCCGAGTTAGATTGGAATCGCCTCACTCCTTCAGAGGAAGAGGGTGAATTGAGCCCCGAAGAGGTATACCGCAACATTGACGAGCTTCGCCCAGACACAAACTTCCTCCGAGGCTCGGAGATTGAGAAGCTGACCGAGGTTCTCCGGAACGGGTTTACGACGGACCAGCTCAAAGAGTATAGCCGTCTCCGTAAAGGTAAAGGTAAAGCTGATGCTGTGCCCAAGAATGACATTGGGTATGCCTGGGTTGTGAAGCATTATCCCTGGGTACCCCAAACGAAGACCGACGTCCGAGGAGGTCAGGACAAGCTCGCATCTGTTCAAAAAGTCATTTACGACACCTGGAAGATCCAGAGTCAGAAGGAGATGGATGATGTTGGAACCGTCATGGTCCAGATGCAAGCAGCTTTCTTTCAGTTTCTCACTTGTAGGTTTTCTTTATTGAGGGTCCGCCGGATGGGATGCACTTGGTACTAACCGGATATCTCAGTTGAATCAGAACGTATGGTGCGAGAGTTGAGGGCGGACTTTCTCGTTGGCGAGGAGGAAACGATAATTATCAAGCGCAAACAACAGCGCCTGTGTATTGTCGCCAGGAAGGCCACCGCCTACGGTATTCTCGCACATCTAGACCAGATTTTCCAGAAGCGGGTGCTCCGAGATATTCCTATTCGGCAACACGTAGCACGTATCCCCTCCGAGGAGGAGCTCGAGGTCCTTTCTCAACTTACCAATACGGTTCTCAAGATGGCCAAGAACGATCAACCACCAGCTGAGGAACTAAGGATCGCCTGGCTCCCAGACCCCCAGGAGAACGCCGCCGAGTCAAAGACGGAGGATAAGGGAGACGTTGTCCTTCGCCTGCTGCTCGGCCATCCCAACCCTGGCCGGGAGGTGGATTTGGAGTGCCTCCCTCAGCCACAAACCAAGGGTATCCCAAAGAGCCACTTTATCAACTTTCGACGACCGCTGAAGTCTCTATCGTGGAGAGACAAGCTCCATACGTGGCAGCGAGTTGTGACTCCCATCGACAAGAAGTCAGACGAGGCATCTCCTATGCCCCTAGACCTGATCGGCTCAGCAACCCTCCCCGAGTACCACCCAGACAAACTCGGCTCTAGGAACGTCACAACCGCTACCTTTGGACACATCCTTCATAACCAGTTTCAAGTAGGCAATCTTGACGGGACTAAGACTAAGAAGACTCGCAAGAAGAAGGCCAAGTCTCCTGATGCCGATGCCGATGCCGATGCCGATGCCGATGACTTTATCGTTCCTCTTCACCTCGACGACTTGAGTACGCCCGGGATGGATGACGAGCCTGTCCAGCCCAAGAAACCCAAACCCATACCTGGTGCGGTGCTATCCGACAAGCGTCGTGCATTCTATCCTCTCATCCCACATCCTGCTTCCTTTTCCGCCCTCAAGCCCGAAGGCAGCGATAGTTTGACTCAATCCACCACCATTATCCTGAACCTTGCAGTTCACGGCGACCGTTCGGCTTCGAACAGGAAAGGCCCTGTCATCCAGGTCCACCTACCAGTCGACGCTGAAGCCGATCTGGCCAACTTTTCCATCCCCAAAAATGCCGCCGCCTACAGCGTTATCCCTTGGTACCGCAACGACCTCTTGCTTCCTGGCGAGAGCGTAGACGTACGAATCCAGCACGAACGTCGCCTTGCTTTGGATATGGACAAAACCGGTATCAGGAACTTCCTCGACACGTCCGAATTCAACCTCCTCAAAGGTCATCTCCGAACGCCCAGTCAAGCTACCATCGAGCTCCCCCCGGAACACATCAACCCTGGCACAAGAAGCGTCACGCCCAAGAGCCAAACCTACGCTTTCCGTGGTCTGGAGATCCATCAGACGGTTGAAATGCCCTGGCGCAACCACACGCTGCGCTACTCGAGCATCGAGGCTGGCCAGCACGGCGGCCAGCGTCAGGAGCTCACCCTCCAAGCAGGCAAGCCGGACGACCCGGGCGACAGCTTCGATGTCAAGAAGCGCCAGAGCTTCCTGCAGCTGGTCGAGGACATGGCTACTGGCAAGTGCTTCTCCTGGACAGAAGGATACGAGTCCATCAAGAGCCGTCAGCTCGAGGACCACAGTTACGACCTTCCCGAGGAGGAGCTTACTGAAGACATTATCGTGGACGATGGCAAGTTCGACACGCATAGCCTTCCTAACCTCCGGAGATATGAGGAACCTAAGCAGCCCAGGAGGGAATACATTCCACGACGAGACACCAGGGATACCCCTCCTAGATCAAAGAAGTTTGATGTTCTGGAAGAGATGGAACAATTTGGAGAGGCGGACGAGCCAGAGGTCACGGAACCAAAGGTCAAGGAACCCGAAGTCAACCAGACGAGTGCCAAAAAGTCACAGAAGGGCCGGGGAGTTGCAAAGACCAAGTCCCCGACAGACGCTCTCCACTCCTTCTTGAACCAGTTCGCTGACCCCCTTTCCTTGACGGCTCCCATCTCCTTGAAGAAACCCACATCCTTGAAGACTCCCATATCTTTAAAGACTCCCACTGGCCAACCTGATGGCGACCGTCAGGTTGACGATGCTGCCCTCACCAACAAGATTCTCCTGGAGGAAGTAGCTACCAGGTTTAATGCTCAGCAAGCGCAAGAGGACTCTGAAGCTCGTCAGCCACAAGAGAAGCCTGAGGCTCGTCAACCGGAAGAGAAACCTGAAGCCCGTCAAGCCCAAGAGGATCCCAGGGTCAGACAACCGCAACAGGATTCCAGAGCTCGTCAAGCCCAAGAGAAGCCTGAAGCTCGTCAGCCACAAGGGAAGCCTGAAGCTCGTCAACCGCAGGAGAAGCCTGAAGCTCCACAGCCGCAGGAGAAGCCTGCAGCCCGTCCAGCGATCAGCGAGGTCGATTTCGAGGCCATGTTCTCGGCCAGAATCAGCGACAAGCCTCTAAAGGCCCCCCCTCCCGCCAAGAAGTCGAAAAAGGGCACTGCCAAAAAAGAGCCCAAGGTCAAGAAGCAACAAGCGACTCCCCAAGCAGCTCCTCAACCGGCTCCCCAAGCAGCTCCTAAAGCATCTCCCCAAGCGCCTCCCCAAGCAACTCCTCAAGCAGCTCCTCAACCGGCTCCCCAAGCAGCTCCTAAAGCAGCTCCCCAAGCGCCTCCCCAAGTAACTCCTCAAGCAGCTCCCCAGGCGCCTCCCCGAGCAGCTCCCCAGGCAACTCCCCATGCAACTCCCCATGCAACTCCCCATTCCACTCGATCCACGGACTCGTTCACTTCCGCCTTTACAGACAGGCGCGTAACCACGCACCAGCGCAGTTCAACCGGCGGGGATGGTTTCTTTGACAACCTCCCCCAGCCACCTGCCGAAAAGAAGGGGAGGCCCCAGTTTGTAAAGAATGCCATAAAGGCGCACCTCAAGAAGAAGGGCAAGGTCAAGCAGGATAGGTGGATGGGCAGAGGGAGGGTCAGGAGGGGCAGGAGATGAATCTTGGTATAAAGGAGAAAAGTAACTTTTGTATAACATGTACTGTATATGTAGCACCACTTGTGTATGATGTAAAGACAAAATGAAGAATAGACATGTACAATGATGATACCTTCACGTCACGAACCAACATGACCCAACACCCGCGTCCAACATCAACATGCACCGGCACAGGGCTAACAGGGAAGACTAACAGACCAACAGAGCTACACCTCCACACAGGCATGAGCTTACGCCTACGACTACACCAACAAAGTCACAAAGACAGGCCATACAGCACATCACCAAAGCATCAACTTACTAGGCACATCATTCACGTCACGTTGCAAGCATGGGAACAGGAAAAATTGCACGAATCACTTCTAGACTCTCTATTCTTTTTTTGTTTTGCACAACCTGAGATCCGAGGCTTTTTCCCTGCCTCTCATTATGTGCCCCAATCAAAAGCCGAGTGCTCATGCACCGCATGTGAGATCATATCGTCGTTGAAGTGAGAACATCAGCCCTTGGGCGCGAGATCGGAGTCGTAAGATCCCGCCGGTGGTTGTCGGTTTAGAAGCAAGTAGCTTACTTCTTGGCAGCCTTGGCAGCGGACTTGGTGACCTTGCCGGAACCAGCAGCAGCCTTCTCGACGGCCTTGATGACACCGACAGCAACGGTCTGTCGCATGTCACGGACGGCGAAACGGCCCAGAGGGGGGTAGTCAGTGAAAGCCTCAACGCACATGGGCTTGGAGGGAACCATCTTGACGATGGCGGAGTCACCAGACTTGATGAACTTGGGGGCGGACTCAACAGCCTTACCAGTTCGGCGGTCGATCTTCTCCTGGATCTCGGCGAACTTGCAGGCAATGTGGGCAGTGTGGCAGTCCAGAACGGGGGCGTAACCGGCACCGACCTGGCCAGGGTGGTTGAGGACAATGACCTGGGCGGTGAAAGAGGCGGCACCCAGAGGGGGGTCGTTCTTGGAGTCACCAGCGACGTTGCCACGTCGGATCTCCTTGACGGAGACGTTCTTCACGTTGAAGCCGACGTTGTCACCGGGAAGACCCTCAGTGAGCTGCTCGTGGTGCATCTCGACGGACTTGACTTCAGTGGTGACGTTGGAGGGGGCGAAGGTAACGACCATACCGGGCTTGATGACACCAGTCTCGATACGGCCGACGGGAACCGTGCCAATACCACCGATCTTGTAGACATCCTGGAGGGGAAGACGGAGGGGCTTGTCGACGGGGCGCTTGGGGGGCTCGATGGAGTCAATGGCCTCGAGGAGGGTCTTGCCAGTGAGCTTGCCGGACTTGATCTCACGCTCCCAGCCCTTGTACCAGGGGCAGTTGGTGGAGGGGGTAAGCATGTTGTCGCCGTTGAAGCCGGAGATGGGGACGAAAGCAACAGCCTTGGGGTTGTAGCCGACCTTCTTGATGAAGTTGGAGGTCTCCTTGATGATCTCCTGGAATCGGGACTCGGACCACTTGGTGGTGTCCATCTTGTTGATGGCGACAATGAGGTTCTTGACACCGAGGGTGTAGGCGAGCAGGGCGTGCTCACGGGTCTGGCCATCCTTGGAGATACCAGCCTCGAACTCACCAGTACCGGCGGCAATGATGAGAATGGCGCAGTCGGCCTGGGAAGTACCAGTGATCATGTTCTTGATGAAATCACGGTGGCCGGGGGCGTCTGTTGATTGTTAGTGATGAGACGTGAGTGAGAGATGACGGCGACATACCAATGACGGTGACATAGTAGCGGGGAGTCTCGAACTTCCAGAGAGCAATATCGATGGTGATACCACGCTCACGCTCGGCCTTGAGCTTGTCAAGGACCCAGGCGTACTTGAAGGAACCCTTACCGAGCTCAGCGGCTTCCTATTGTTGAACCAGTCAGTGTCTGTTGTGAACCACGTGATGCGCGCCAAGAGGGTTTGGTGTTTTTGTGTGCAGGGATCAGGGCTTTGTCCAACGTCGCCCGAGTGGCGGGGTAAATGCCCCACCAAAAAAAATTTACGGTCGAACCGCAAAATTTTTGGGACTCGGGAGAAGCGGGCGCAGAGCGTGTCGCGGAGGAGGGAATTCGACGGGGAATTCGATGTGGGATAGCAAGGCGCGATCGGGGGAGATGTGACCAACCTTCTCGAACTTCTCGATGGTTCGCTTGTCGATACCACCGCACTGGTAGATCAAGTGACCGGTCTGTAGATGATTGTCAGCATGAAGTGACTGATGAGTACCCCGCCCGAGATACCAGGCGGGGTTCCACGACCCGAGATAAGCAGATCGCGATGAGGGCTTGACTTACGGTGGTCGACTTGCCAGAGTCGACGTGGCCGATGACGACGACGTTGAGGTGAGTCTTGTCCTCCTTACCCATTTTGGCGGTTGTTTGTGATGTGCGTTAAGTGTTTGGTTAGAACGTGCTGCAGAGGGAAGAGGTCAGCAGGTGCGGGAGGCGAGAGGAAGATGCGGCGGCGATGAGAATGATCGCGAAGGAACTGTGCGCGAAAGCAAAAGAGTCCTTGCGATGATGGTCAAAGGCCTGTGATGGAAGGGAACGTACAATTCGCAGATCGGATGCTTGAACCGGGTATGCGAGACGAAGAGCAGAAGGGAAGAAAAAAATGAAAGGAAGAGGCGGGAGGAGGAGATTTAAAAAGGTGGGAGGAGAGGTGGAGGGGGAGGGGTGGAGAGAAGGCAGCTGCAGAGGGCGCGGGGCAACCAGCTGGCCACCGAGCGACGAGCCCTAACAGCAATGAGGTTTTTTTTCCTGCCCGCACTGCACGAGCACTGGCAGAAATTCACAGCCTGCCACCCAATCAGAGAGCCGAGGGGTGGTTACGGTCTGTTTGAAGTGTGGGTGCCTGCCCTTGGATACGGCGTGTGGGCAAAGGCATGATCGGTCTGAGGAATGGTACGAGGACGACATTAGGAGGAGCGAAGCCATGGAGATTACGGGACATCAGAGGCTTGTCTTCAAGAGAGATGGAGTCTAGATGGAGTATCTACTGGAGCTATTCACTTGAATTCATGTTGCCATGAGCTGTTGCGCGCTTTGACGGGTTGTTGCGGTGTTGCTGAGGCCTCTCAAGGTTGATATCTGAGGGAGGGGAGCTGGGACAGATGTCTCTACCCGGCAAGCTACCTCGCTGTTTGGTATGACATTTGGCATTTACAATTCTGAGCACAGTACAGAAGAGCCTGTTGATGGCCATACGGGAAGCTACAGCGTCGTTCAAGACCAGAGACGACCATCACCAGATGTCCTTTGACCGCTTCCATTAGCCATTCATCGCATGCCACTGATCTCGACCTCAAACCCAATATCTGGCTTCCACAGCAGGGCTGAAGGACGAGAAAAAAACAAGTTGTGTGGATAGGTACATCCCATCTGTTAGCAGGATACCTTGTGGAGACCGGATTTTTCTCGAGCACCGCCGCCCAAGGGAGGAGCAAAAAAAAAAATTTCACACTTACGGCCCAAGCAGGAAAAATTTCAACAAAGGGCCGCCTAGCGGTCGAGGCTTTTCGGTGGGTTTGTGTGGTGGATGCTACAGTACGCGGCGGTTGTCTGTGACCCATGGATGGATGGGCTTGCTTGCTTTGCAGTCCATGCTGCGACAAAAGCCGTCCGTGGGACCTGTCTCTTCTGCCCAACCCACGGGTTTTGCCCCTCCTCCTGTCAGCCCAACGCAACCGCGGCGTGAGTCACGAAAGGGAGAAAGCCATCTATCTGATTGTTCTGTTTTTCTCGCCGAAAGCGTCATGTAGATATTACGCCGGATGAGAGAGTCCGGTTTTTTTCGTGCCCGAAATGACTGCTTACGCCGAAAGAGCTTCCTTTGTTTTTTTACGTATTTTTTTTTTTTCCAACTCGTGTCGATCGGGGAGGGAGGGGAGCTTTGCTGCCCCTCTTCTCTGGCGCGGTCTGTTTCTGGCTCAAACTCCCTGTACGAATCAACGTCATGCCCCACCACTAGCGTCCTCCTGGTTGCCACCGCCGCTGGGAGCCCAGTGCACGGAAGATCTGGCCGTCTTCAGTCGCGGTCGCATATCAATTTTTTTTTCGTCGGAGCTGGAGGGGTAAAATGAAAGGATGTGAACGGCTCAACAGAGATGATATGACATCAAGGGACTGACAATTTTGGAGCTTTAGTTGTATGTAGAAGCGACTCAATCAAGAGCTGATTCATTCTCCTTCGGTAATTCCCGTCTCCTTCTTCGTGTGTCGTGTCTGTCTCATGGCTCGACATCTTCTCTGCCCCTCCCCCTCCCCCTCCCCCTCCTTGTCAACAAGCCCCTCCAGAAGAGTTCAGTCCGACCAAAGGTTGCTGGGGTCCTGTAGCCTCTAACCTCAAAAGAAAGAGCGCGCGCCAAAACAATGGAGGGGCGACATGAAAAAAAACTCCCAGCCATGGTGGAGCCTCGACGAAAGGTCTTGGTCCTTTGATGCAGCTCACACCTCACGTACCCGCCGCCGCCAAGGCTCGGCTGGTCGCAGGTGGAGGTCCAAGATGAGGTTTTTCCCATATCATGGCCGATTGTGTGCAGGGCCGGGCTCTGAAGTGGATTCGATGAACTCGCGACTGTGACATGCGCGGAGCCACTGAGAGCCGGTCAAATTGTCAATCAGTACCAAGTCGTTGTGATGTGCCACCACGGCGGCGGCAATCCTACCTCATGTTCGAGATTTCGACCAGGTCCAAGATAGGCAAGGATGGGCCTCGGCCTGTCTGCGAGCTGTCGCATCCAGCTCCAGCTCTCGACACCATCTCTTGGCCACCTGCCGCCTATCCACGGCCGCTACGTCTGAGCAAGAGTCAAGAAGCTCCAGCTCCAGAGCTTTGCTAGCACAGTAGATACAGTATGCGTGCCAGCTGGTCTCGATGTGTGTTGTCTTTGCAGACCGCTCAGTCTGCATCGTGATCCTTTAGCCTGTGGTAGGTATTTGCCATCCTCAACAACCTCCGCAGAGACTGGAGGTTTGTCCACAGTGGATATGCCCTCGACGCATGTGTTGCCTCTCACTCTGCATCGGCTCCGCCGTCAGCCCGTCGTTCGGCGGCCCATTTGTAGTTCGCGGAGAATTCTACCAGAACGAGGTGGAGATAACTGTTTGCTCCATTGATGTGCAATCAAATGATGCATTTCATGATTCATAGACGTCGTTGCAGATTTTGTTTGTCCTAAAAAGATTATTGCAGTTTGCCCGCGATGTTGGCAATACAAGTTCAGGGTAGCAAAGCCATGAGGGAATCAGCGGACAACTCCATCAGCCCGAACACCCCCATCCAAAGTCAAGGATGCTGTGGCTAGAGATACTAAGCGAACCCAAAGCGTATCATTACACATTCTAATCAAAAATAATCGTTGCTATTGCGTCTCGCTTGCGCTTGACCCGTATTGGTGTCCAGTCCAGGGAGTCGAGCGGAGCCCACAGCAAATCCATATAAAGCCACCAGCCCCCAACCCCTGGTTACACGAGCTGATGTGCATTGGCCGAATCGCTGTCCTTCTTTTGACTTCGTTCCCCAATGGACAGTGAATTGGCCACTGTCTGGTTCTCTGTTGTGTGAAAACTGCAATTTGTTGTACTGTGGTTATTCTACTGACTATATAGGCCATCTGGACGAGCAACATCACCTCCAAGTCGATATCGAAGTCGATACCTGGCTTTAACCAACAGGCATTCAAATACCCGTCGATATTATCTCGTATAGGCCTAAATCGACTGTTAATACCTCCTTCACGCCTCAATCGCACATTCGAGATCGACCCTCCTCGCACCGTCCCTGTGCAGCCTGCATAATCCCGCCCGTGCCTCCATCACCAGCTGCATCAACCCGCCAGCCGCCACCAACTGGCAAACACCTGCACATCAACATATAGGCCGCAATACCAAATACCTACCCCAACAAACAGCCAAGAAGCCGCGCTCCGTGGTCGAACGGTCAAGAACGAAGCCCGTATAGAGTAATAGCAACTCGTTGGACTCCTATAACAGTATAGGTGTGAGCCAAGGATCCCGGTGCAAATCCGGGTGCGGGTATCTTTTTTGCAATTTTTTTGCACTTTCCCTCAACATGGGGAATTTTGCTATTTGGCTGAAGGGGCTTAGCTCTTTTTTGGCCGCAGCAATTGCGCTTGAAGCCGCAAATTCGCCTTCGTGATGTTGATTGTTGAACATTCTTGGTGTATGCTTCACCCCAACGTAGAACAGCATTTGGGTCCAGCCCAACACCATTCTGGCAATGGACCACGCAAGAAGCAATATCGAAGCATTGTTTTGAACGACCAATTACGATTTGCTATATGTATTTGGCCCTGAGGCCGCGTATATCAGATCCAGCCAAGTCCTGCTCGGCCAAACCCTTATGCATCCCCCTCTATATGAACACCCCGTCACCATTTCGCCCGAGCATATCAATCATTGCGCCATGGCCTCCATCTTCTTTCCCTTCGCCTTCTCCATGCCCTTGGGCGTCTTCAAACCAACAAACACGGTCGCAACAACAACCGCCATACCAGTCGCACCCATACCGTAGGCAACCTCTCGGCCTGCCCACCAGTACACACTCGTGAAAAGGATAGGTCCCAGGCCACGACCGAGCTGGCCCCAGCTGCGAAGCATACCCAGCTTGTTTCCACGCTCATCCTCGTGAGCCTCGAAGCTGCTCAGCGCATTGAGGCCAGTGACAACAGTGGCGGATGTCATAGCAAGGCATGTAGCCGCCAAGTACAGTCCTCCAATCGTCGTAATCTGGCCAAGAAGAATGAAAGAAGCCAGACAGGCGAGTGTACCGATCTTGATGCAAAGGAGAGGAGGAAGACGTCGCGTTACGCCGCCCTGGAGGATTGATGCGACCAGACCGACGTAGCCCAGAAGCCGACCGTTCTTGCCAGAGGTAAACGAGAAGAGCTCGTAGGTCATGAAAGACAGAGAGCTCTCCATACCGGAGAAGAAGAGGAGGAAGACAAAGTGCACGGCATTGAGAATGAAGTGCGAATTGGTGCGCTCAACGGCCTTGGGAGCCGGCTTCTTCTTCTCGCCCTCCTTGACGTTGATGCCAGTTAAAGCAGGCAACGTCTCAGGGAGACAGAAGTAGAGATACACCGTCTCGACAACAATCAGGCCCAGACTGAAACCAGCCGCTGTAGCAAAGGGGTTCGCGGCGAAGGTTGAGACGGTGCTCAACCATGCACCGAGCCCTGGGCCAAAGGTGAAGGCGATGGAGAAGCAGGCGCCAATCAGAGCCATGGTAGCACCGCGGGAGGACTCGTCCGAGATATCGCTCGCCATAGCTGTTGACAGTTGGATGTTGCCCTCGGATAAACCACCCACGATGCGGCTCGCGATGAATGTACGGAAGTCGACGGCCGCGACCCAGAGCAGAACGGAGAGGATGTTGCCGCACATGGAAGCTAGGAGGGCCTTGCGACGGCCATATCGATCGGAGAGGGCGCCGATGAGGGGAGAGGCAATAGCCTGAAGGAGTCTATACAGAAATACATTATTAGCAGACCGCGACAAGCGCCTTGCAGTGGTATGCTGACGTACGAGAACATGGAGCCCAGCGCACCGCCCAGCAGCACAATATCATATCGCGACTCTATCGGACGTGAAAAGGAGGTCTTGTAGCGGTGGAGGCCAGACAAGACAGTCTGAAGAAGCGTCCTCGGGCCATTGTCGTCGAGCGAGGGCTCCTCGCCTTCGCGATCGCGGTAGAACTCGAGGAGTTTCGGGAACAGAGGGAGGATAAAGGTGAAGGAGATCTAGATTTAGAGTTTTCTGTCAGAATCGTAGGCGCATTGCATGCAGCAGAGTTGGAAACATACCAGATCGAGCAATAGCGAAACGGCAATTACGCGAAGAACCTTTTTCCTCGCGACGGGATCGAGGCCAGCCATGGCGTTTGGTTTGCGAATGCGAAGATGACGTACAGTAAGACTGGTGACGATGAGACGACGGGAACTAAAGGTTCAATAGGAAAGAAGCAAAGACAATATATAAGCAGGAAAAGAAAAGAAAAAAGAATTGACCACAAGCGCTTCTCAGGAGACAGTGGAAACTTTGCTCAACTGATGGCAATGGAACCGTCGCTTTCGGGGTCGTCGAATCGAATACGTGGTGGTGGCAGCTTTGACGCCCCTGGTTGGTCCGGGCCGAGGCGTGGAGGTGAAGTCAGCGGGGGTTATGGATGGAATCAGCCGTGCGTGTGCCGTGACGGTTGCCGTTCAGGGCCCCTGACCCCTGTGTCCTTAGGGGGTTTTCGTGGCTGCAGGCTCTTGAGATCTCCCCACCATTGACGAGCATCACCCATTCTGCGTCAGCCGTTTATCAATCTGGCTTGATTCACGGCAATGCTTGGACGAGGATGCCAAGGAACAGTACTGGTTCAACTCGGTGGTGGTGGTGATGGTGATGGCTTCAAGTCACTTGCAGAGGGAGATGATTGTACTGAAAACTGTATATATATATATATATATTTTGTCGTGTTTTCTCATGATTCTTTTTTTTCGTTTTCATGGGTATTTTGTAGAGAAGCTTTGCTTCTCCCTTCATCCCCCTCCACCATGAGCTCCCGTCCTTTCAACCCCCACGACTTTGGTTCAAAATTGGTATCTTATGATCTTTTCCGATCTGGCATTTCGTGTAAGACGTCCACCACCTTTCATGACAAAGGGAATCAAACACTCGCCCGTGCGCCTGTAGTCGGCAGTGATGGGTGATTTGGTGTTGATGATGAAAAAAGGGGATTAAAAAAAAAAAAAAAAAAAGGCCACCAGCGGTAGGTCCGTGTTTTTAAACCCAGACGCCGCGCTGAAACCTTGATGGTATAAAAAAGGGAACTCGCTTCTCCAGAGACACGGTGATGCCCGTGAAACACTTTCGGTAAAAACGATAGGGAAGACCAAAGATGAACTCCAGCATCCATAGATAGAAATCAAACTGATAGAAAGCACAAGACATAGTAAAGGGTATTGGCACGTCCAGGTGCCGTATCCAAAGGTATCTTCCATAAACAAACATCAAACTCATGACTTCCTCGAGTCGTGACATTATTTCATCATTCCATCCATCATACATCTCGTTTCCGTCGCTCATATGATAATGATAAAAAGGCAACAGGGTATAGGTGGCAAAGCAGAGCAAGGGCAGAAAAGCGAAAGCAGAGCAAACCAGAAATACCGTTACCTATCGGTATGTTCGTTACGAGGTATCAAACCACGTGTTTAATATGCTTCAAAGACGAAGCGAAGGCCCTCGGATCCCTTGACTCGTTGTTAGTGTTGCTGTTAGACAAGTTGAACATGTAGACATACCTTGTAGGGGATAGGCATAAAAAAGTCGGCAGCGGGCTCGCAGTCTCGCACCCTCGTTTCGTAGATGCTCAAGTAACCAACATCTCCAAAACGTTGGTCACCATCGTCGCTGCCAAAGACAACACCACCACTTCCCCAGCGGCGGAAGATCTTGGCAAGCATAAGGTAGAGTTCGGCTTGGGCGAGAGCCATGCCCAAGCAGACGCGGGTGCCGGAGCAAAAGATGTCGAGGTACTTGTCGAGTCGCTCACCATCCTCAACCCAGCGCTCAGGGTGGAAGCCCCGGGCATCGTAAAAGATGTTCTCGTCCATGACGGTCTTGTATGGGCTCATACCCACGATGGAGCCAGGAGGTAGGCGCCAGACCGTGTTGTTCACGTGGTCATGGTAGACGAGGGTTTCGTCTGCGGCAACTCGGGCGAGCCGGCTGCTGGTTCCGATACCAAGACGCAGTGCCTCCTTGACAACTCCGCCAAGGTAGGGGAGCTTCTCAAGTCGGGAAAGCGGTGTCGTATCATGGGCATCGGGAATGGCAGCAAAGAGCTCGTCGCGAAGCTTACGAAGAGTCTCGGGGCGGTTGAGGAGGTGGAAGGTTGCCAGGGACATGGCCCAGGAGGTGGTGAGAGTACCACCTTGGACGAGGATCTGTCCCTCTTGAACTTGGGGTGACTGCTTCACCCGCATTGAGCGAGGCCTCGAGAGCATGGTAGGGTGACCACCATCCATCGTCCACTTGCCCGTGCTTTGGGGTGGGTCGATGCTGTGAATGTGCTCAAGGATATCGTTCTTCATCTTCAAGAAACCACCCCAACCAGGCATGCATCGGTTCGAGATGGACTCGGGCAGAGCATTGACAAGTGTGAGCACCCAGTCGAGATGCTGCACGCATGGCCCCATGTGGGTGCCGATAAGAAGGTCGTTGGTGACCTCAGCTCCGAAATCCGACTTCTCGACAAGATGATCACTTCGAGCAAAAGCATACTCGTTGATGACGTCTATACATTGTTAGACCTACCAATCATCACAGGGACAGATAGAGCTCACCATTGGTAAAGGCTGAGTACGGGTACATGACATCCAAAGGTTGACCGTTGGACACCTCGGCGTAGTTCAGGAACGCATCCAGAAGGGCATCCACTCTCTCCTCAATCACCGGCTGCAATTTGCGCACAGTCTGAGTTGAGGAGAAAGGGTTCAGCGCACTTCGCCGCAACTTGTGAAGGCTGTGGTCGATGGCAGCAAGAGAGCCTTCCGTCGCAGTATTAGGTCCCGTCAAGGCATTGGGATGAGGTACTCGCGTACGAGGGGCGCCGGACTGTAGCGTGTTAGTGAGGGTGCATATGTAAGATCCGATGGTATACTTGCCTGTTGTGTATAGAACGTCCACTTGTCCCGGCGCCGGCTGGGTCCAGTGTAGAGCTCCGAGAAGAAGTCGGGGTCTCCCACATGGACCTCCCAGGGGTTGATACGAACAATAGGTCCGTACTTTTCGTGCATGTCGATGATCTTGAAGGTGTATTGCCCCCCCAGGACAAAGTCATAGTAGAACTCATAGTACTGAGTCAAAGCTGCCAGCTTGGGGCCAGGGATATGGGCCAGAGGGCTGAGCCATAATCTCTGGATAACCAGCTGGATGAGGTAGATGAGCCAGACACCGGCGAGCAGGCATCCAGTCTGCTGCCAGGTGAGGCTGGCGATGATCTCTGGGACCGCCATGATGGTCTTAGAAGAATCCATTCATGAGCGACTCGCCCGGACAGGGCGGCGTTGTCATTGAAAGAGGGAGAGAACAGAGGAAGTCGGTGATACTGGAGGTGCCATGGGCTCTCCAGGCTACAGAGGCCTTTGATTGTCTTTGGGACAAGACCAATGCATCTCAGCAAGCAGTCGAGGGGAGCATGCAGGACGAGCTGATTTTGTATTGCAGCCAAGGGCCAGGCTCTCACCGCATGGACTCCTGTGCAAAGCAGGCGCTGTGTGGGCTGGGAAGCTAGGACAGACCCCCGGGGCGCGAGCGGGCCGCGTGGAGTCGAGCTCATGGCGGTGAACGATGTTTGAGGATTTCAAGACAAGGGCTGAACCGGGGCTGCGCCAGCTGTCACCGCAAGTGCTGTGCATGCCGTTGGGCAGAACACACTCGGCGGAGCCAAAGGTGTGTTTGTCCTTGTCGTGATCGCGTGGGCGAGCCAATAGGTGTGCCACCCGAAGCCGGGGGAGCTTGCAACAAGACCCAGACGCTTGCCCTCAACAGGAGTAGCCATTGGACCGCTAACGCGCGGTACAGAGTCAGGAACAGAATCTAGCAGAGGCTGGTCACTCAGGGGCACGCTGATGAGTTGGATTTTTCGCTCAGAGAAGAGCCGGAGACCGGCGAGGTTGGAAAGACGACATGGCATGGGTTTGGTGAGAGGGGAGGTTGGAAGTGCGGTGGACGGAGATGGTGTTGTTGATCGGTAGCATCCGAGCGGCGGTGGAGAGGCTGGACAGCCGGAGACGAGATTGGGGTCTCTAGCAAACCAAACAAAAAAGTGGAAAATGCGAGGACTTGGCCATTCATGAAATTGGCCGAGAGGTACTTGTCAGAGCGCGAGCTATCCATGTCCTGTCTGTCAGAAGGAGGTCTGAGGCAAGTGATCACGGGCCAGATGTTTGTTGTAGAAGTGGGTGTGCTGGATCTGTAGGACGTCTTGATCCGGCACGCTAACATCCGACTTTGAGCGCGAGGCTAATCCCTTTACGACAAGTGAAGGCCGAAAAGAGAAGACGCGTTCCTATTTCCGCGTGCTCACCTACAAGACATGGTGTCAATTTTCATAGCCCTCAAGATAAGAAAAGGCCTGAGCATTCATGCTCTTGGTCTTGCAGAACTCCAGAGTCTCAGCCTGTGATATCGATTTCCCAATCACTCGCATATTCTGACAACTCCTCGGTCCTTCATCCGGCCAACATGCTCTGCCGCGCGGCTCGAGTACGGGACATGGCCTCTGGACCAGTTTCGTCGACTCTGAAGCAGCTGTCATACTGTAAAAAGCATCACAATGCTGTATTCATCAGCCTGTCGACCAATTTGGGAGGCCCAGCGTCTCCGATCCTTGCATGCAAATCCAGCTGATACGACATTCCTGGCTGCATCAGCCCATTGCTGTAAGCCATCCTTGAGGATCGCACACCGCACAAAGCGTCCAATCTCGAGGTGCTACGGAAACCACTCGAGACCCTGAGAAATCGTTGCATACGCAATCTTGTGGCAGCAGCAACGCAGCGTTATCGTGATATCCTCGTGGGCTCCCAGATGATGCCTCTTCTTTGGTTCGCAGGGTCCAAGCCCAAGCCAGGTCCGCTCACCTGCTTGACATGGTGATCACGCCACCGGGCAAAGTAGGGACTCATTTGCATAAAGATACAGTGTCGTGGCAGACGGCTGCTCGTCCACGGTTAGAAAACATGTGAATATGCGTGAGATTGAGGCAAGTGAAACTGTTGAGCATGATGCATGATACACGCAGCTACTGGTGATGGCTGAAAATAGAGGGTAATACGCAGATGGTGGTGTCTTTGACGGAAGCTCAAGGCCGACTTGGCCAAGAAGGAGATGGACAGATGCACGCTGGAGCGTGCGTCCACCCTCTCCGTGATGTGATGAGACATCCGTTCAGATCATCTAGATCAAAGACCATGCCGATATCAGCGTCGTTATCACATCACACATCGAGTGCGGATACGGCACCCGATTCCACCCACCGGAAAAAGATGGCGCACGGGAGAGAGGGTCTCGCGATGCCGTAAAATGGGTCAAAGGTTGGCATCCGTCCATCCACATCCCACGCTTCTCCACCCCCACACTGAAATCTGGGGTAAACTGCCTACCTGCCTGCCCGGACTATTCTTAGTTCCCACGTATAAAACATCTGGGAGTCCAGCTGTCAGGCTGGGTTCATGGTTATTAAGAAGATGTTACCCTCTGCCGTCATGTTTGCTCCCAAGTTCGGTGTCTTTTCCGGTATAGATCGGGCCTTGTCTCGGCGGCTTCCGCACCTCGATCGTGTCCTAAACATCAACGACAAACAGCCTCAGACACGGCCGCTAGTCACATGAATATCGCCCTCAACGTCAATTGCCACATCCGCGGGACGGTCCTTTGACTAGATGAAGGGTTGCAACCTTTACTCGATCAACGGACCGTCCCATCTTTAGTCGGCATCAATTACTCCTACTCTGCCAATCATGGTGGGTGAAGCTGGTCATTCAGACGAGTACATCCAACTAAGTGCTGAAGAAAGGAGGTCTGGGTCATTCCTTTCTCCACGATCGACCGGACGGAGAAACTGGTCTCGGAGTCCCTTGACTAAAAAATTTCTCCCTTCTACAGCTTCATCCATTCAATCTCCCTTTGATCAACGCATTTGTACCGTCATTGTCGTTCCACTCATCCCTCTGGTGGCTTGTGCACGACTGCGAAACAGCGACGGCCTTGGAACCCCTGCAGATCTCCCCGATGCGACTCGCCTCCGTGCCAAACGACGCCGAGACAGCAAGAGTGCCAGCATGTGAAGCATTGCGAGTGCATTGCGGGCAGATATGCCATGATATCCGTCCCCCTCGGCGTCAATACCAAACATCGAGTCCTGGAACGGCCTTGTGCAACCTGCGGCAAGCCTTCTCGAACAGGTCTCCGGGCTAGGTCCCACCCAGATCCCACATTCTGTCGGGTCCCCACAAACCCGGCGAACTGGTTCAAGGTTTTGCGACAGCTAATGTAGGGCTGCAACTTATGCGGCAACGTTGTGCCCTTTGCAGTTACGGCCCACGAAACGGCCAGCACCCTTGGGTGACGTTTAGGGGGCCTCAAAACAATCTCGGCCGAAAGGGTTGCCCCTCAGGTTTGGGCATGGATCACGACCCGACGACGACAGCCAGCTGTTTGGTGGTGATTGAGAAAGATAGGTATCAAAATTAGGTCGACCCTGCGGCCAGGCGCACTTCTATGTACGTCGTATCTATGCCCTCGTTCCGGTTTTCCACCTCTTTTGATTTCCAATTCAGTTGATCATGACTCCTGACCTGAGTTATCCCGTCTAATACTTTTTCCCAACCGTCCCAAGCCCAAAAGAAAGGCCCAAAAAGAAAGCAAAACCCCACAACTCCATCCTTTCCCAGCAAGTGCTTTTATTTCGATCGGCAGTCGATATCATCATCGCTTAACAAGTGTACAGTGCTATTCGTCGATTCTGTTGTGTTTTGTGTGCGTTGTGTTGTGTGTTGTGGCGTGAACTCTAACCAGGGTTAGCAATCGCGAAAGGGAGGATTCTTGGTTGCCGTGAGTACTGACCTTGAGCACGCCGGTTCATAACACGGAGAGCAAAGAGAGAAGAACTCTCAAAGATGCGTTGCGACGCCTCATAGCTGAACAAGCTGAGGGCACTTTCCGGACTTTGGTGGTTTGGGTGCATTTGGCTTTATCACGCCAGTGGTGTCATACGGTCCGCGCGGCATGGTGATGGAGTCGGTTCGTTGAAGCAAAGCGAATACGCGAAGCAGAGGTTGGTGAGATCAAAGGCAGATGCAAGTGTGCAGAGCAGAGCAAAGAAAAGCTGAGCGACAGAAATCCAAGGCACGCACACAACCAATTTTCGCAAAATCCAGGGGATACTGATCACGAAAAAAAAAACGATGACGGGGCCCTATTGTCTTAAATCCCCGTGAAATTGAGAGAGCGCTCGCGTGGCTTCAAGCTACCGCTGTTCGGTGACCTGGCGGTCAGCAAAATGTACTGGCACCCCTGATAACTTTCCTGGCACTCCGAACCCCTGTGCTTGTTTTTTTTTTTACGGTCCACGGTCCATGCTACCTAGGATCGGCAGGGGCCGCGAGCTTCCTCTAGCTCCTGGTCGAACTCAACTCAAGTTGCCGGGCTGGAGGAGGCATCCAGGAGTGGCAATTATTTGTGCAAAGGGGCATCATGTCTGTGGAGTCTGTGGTGCGGTATCGATCAGCTTGGAGACGTGAGGCGATCAACGCAAGGTGAGAGATTGAGGGGGATGGTCCTGTGAGTCTGTACGGAATTGACGAGCGCAGGCAGGGCGAGCGAGATGAGCCATCTAGAGGGCGGATTTGATATGGACAAGGGGGTGGCCATCAACAAGCAATGCGTCAAGGGAGAGAGAGTGGACACCACCAGCAAGGAGGGCTTGTGGGGAATACTAATGAGCGGCTCCTACCAAGAGAAGCCGGGATTGAGCTTGCAGCTGGGGGGCGGCTCTATTCCAAACAGATTCTAGAAGAGACGCCACCGTGCTTCTCTTGGACCTGGGGACACACGATGCGCCGAGTGTTGGGGGGAGCAGAAGAAGGTTCGAACGGTGAGCGATCGTGACACTTTTCGGTGTGGGATTGTGACGAGTTACTTGGGCTCGGTCAAAGGATTCTAATGGGCGATGAGACAAGACCAAGAGCTGAGAGGAGAGACACCAACACAAAGGGCAATCAGACTGATTCAACAAAAAAAGCAACTAGCGAGCCATGGGAGTAACAGCCAGCACAACGCACTCCGTCATCCCATGTCATACCACACCGACAGCACATGTTGCTGCACGGGACCGTCACTCTGCTTCCCCCGGTTGCCCAGCCGTTGCACTGTTCACCGTCGTTGTTGGTGACGTTCGCCCACCGCTTGGGGCTCGTTACCGTACTCGGGGCTAGACCTGGTAGGTTGTCAAAGAGCCGCTTCCATACCAGGGCAGGGCAAAGCTCCAGAAGGGCCGGGACGCAGTTGCAGTTGCGAGGTCACAGGCCCCTTTCCGTCTGTCGGGTCCGCTCTCTCCTCACCTTCTCTCCATGCGTATCTCGCAGGTCAGGTCAAATCTCCTTCGCACGAGCCAGCAAGCCCCAGGCACACCTTCATTTCCCGGGCCACGTTGTTCTCAGCCCGGGCTGGCTCACTCGGCCATGCTTCCCCTAGAGCCAGCCCGCCCGCCTGTCACAGCCCTGTTGAGCCAACCGGGAGGAACGGCCGTCTGGAGTTCCCACCACTCGTGGCACGCCGCCTTTCCCAGGACCGCGGTCCCGTGCTCTTGCCGATCTCTCGGATAATGCTTCCAGAGTTCCGGGGGTGTCTAGTGGCAAAGGGACTCAAGGCTGATTCTCCTGACAATTGGCCACTATCGAGGTGCGCCGAGGCTGAGGGGGTATGGATGAGGTTTCGTCATTAGGAAGCTCGTGTCGGAAATATTAGACAGAAAGACACATATGGCACGGCACGGTGAAGGCGAAGACGGGGCTGGACGCTTCGTCCATCTTGCAGCTGAGCATCATCTCGAGATGACAGAATTTTCATCTCGGTCACGTCCAGACGACATCATAAATACAGTAACAATTTGACAAAGGCAGGGACAAGGGTTGACACAATACGAAAGACTCTTTGAACCGTCTCCTTGCTGAAGAAGGGTTTGAGGGCGCAAGAGGAGCCTCCGAGCGTGGCTGTCACCAATCGGAGCACGTTCCATGAGAACGGTCCTGTCTCTGGGCCCGCCTTAGCTCTGAGTGAATCCTCCTTTTCGCTCTTCAGGTGACGACCAGCCTATGGGGTACGGTGCACAGAGCCGGAAAGAGTCAGATCATCCGGGGCGGCGTTCAGCTCTTGGTCAGCGCTGGCTCGGGCATCGCATCCCTGCTCGCCATGCGATGAACAAGAGTCAACAGGTGCCGTGCAAGTGCCGTATCGTGGGCAGTCCTTTGTGTGTTGGTGTTGGTGTTGGGCTGGGCTGGCGGGGGGGGGGAACCTAGGGCGGGAGAAGCATCCTTAATTACTGGACGCGGTGTAAGTGGAGTGCCACGCGGTGAGCACTCTAGCCTAGCGCAGCCGTGGCCGTCCAACCCAACAGCGACACAAGACAAGCTCGTCCGTCTGGTTTGGTCTGGGTCTGGTCTAACCTAACGTACGGACGCAGGGATCCAATTCCCCGTTGTCCGGAAGCGGCAGCGTTGGAACCGTGGCTCCGGTGCCGAAGCTAGCTGCCGGGGGATGTGGGCGGACGTGGCGGAAGGGCTCCTCAGAGGTCTTTTGGGTACCTAGGGTAAGGGTACGGGTACCGGTAGGGGTTCGATAAGCGACCAGAAGATGAATAGAAGGAAAATTCCGTGGGCTGTTGTCAGTCTCGAATAGGATTGTAGCCCCGTTGTGAGGAACCGTGGGTATGGATGGATCTATGTACTCGGTAGACCTATAGATTCTCAGAGATGCGATCCGCACCAAACAGGAAAGACTGGGGCTTTTCGGAGCATTATTAACAAGACAGTGGGTTTCTACCCGAAGCTGCAGGTTGAGGTGCAAGTTGCAAGATGCTTCCCAACAAGTGCAGCAACGCAACTTGCACACCCTCTTCTCCATGATGCTGCATGTTTTGTCAAGGAACATGGGTCGAATTCAGCTCTCAAGGCAAAAGCAGATGGGACGACAAATCGATCGAATTCCCCGTGATTTGAAACGAAACGCGGTTTCCCGAGAACGTGCACCGGAGTCACCGCTTCAAAGCGTCGCGGGTAGATATCTGGGCTTTTCTGCACACTGATGAGATCCGGGGCGGAAGAAACGGCGTTATTGGGCGGTTGTAGATGGAGCACGATGGTTCCTCAGAGCGATCTGTGCTTGTACTGTAGAATTCTGGGCCGCAAGAGCGAGGCGTTGGGCAAGAATCTGGACTACGTAGCGGGTGCGTTGGCTCTATTCTAGGATACGGTGTAGATGGGTGGGTGTAGGTTCTGTGACGTGGTAATGTACTTGAGGGTGTTGGTTCTTGTGCTAATGTACATGAAATGGAGACTGAAACTGGAGCTGCGCAGTAAAGGAATTTGAAATAAATCCAAGGCAATATTTATTAATCCATTGCCATCCATCCGCATGAAAAACGCCCTTTTCATACTTGTGGTTTGAAGCCCAGTTTCCGAGCGACAGGTCAATTCCCCTAGTACACGACTCAAGTACAGGGTATTGTTAACTGCAACCAGTCTTTTAACTTTAGAGTTACAGTAGATCTATCGTCTGGGGTTTTGGTATATTCTCTCGAGTCAAAATTATTAGTGACAGCATAGAAAACTGCTGCCCATTTACTCGCAATTGTAACGTTGCTGCATCATATCCCAATGCGGAAAGTCCCTTTTCTCCATCTCTCTCCTGTTCCCGTTCAGCTGAGGCGTTCTCGTGCCAATCACATCACGTGATGCCAGCCATTTCATCACAACCCACGCTCCCGTCTCGACAACCTCAATAACTTAGTCTGCGCCCTGAGCCCTGAGCATGCTTACCCGCCGCTGCTGACGACCTGCTGCAGCTCAAATCCTCTAAATCCTCAAATCAGAAAAAATCTCCGGCAGTTGAGTTCTTCGAGATGCCTGCGTGTCATGGGTGCCGAGTGCGCAAGGTCAAATGTGACGACGGGCAGCCCTGCTCCCCATGCCGGCAGTTCGACGTCCAGTGCGTTAGGTCCACGGGGCCGAGGAAGCGCAAGAACCCGCAGCGAGGCCGACTGGTGGCCCAGATCAGGGGGGAGAATCCCCTGCCGTCATCGCCGACGTCCTCCGTGTCCCCATCTTCCACGGCCGTCCAGCCCCCGACATCGGGCCATGATTGGGCCGGAAATGATAGCAGTCCCGGGTCGCACTCGGGCCCGGCGTCCGAGGTCTACACGCCGGCCTTCTTCACCGCCCTACTACCAGAGTTTGAGAAGGTCGTCTACCCTTTCAGCCCCGCTGTCACTCCCGAGGACATGGTCGCCGCTATTTCCATGATGCACAGTAGTTCCGAGGACGCCGCCTTGGTCTACGCCTATGGAGCCGTCACAACGTTTCTTTCTCAAACGGCAGACCACACGCATGGGAGTGTGGCAGCGCAAATAAACGACCTCATTTACCATGGCCTGGAAGCACATCATCGAGCTGGACTGGGCACACATGTCACTGGGCGCTTAGATGAATTCCTGCCTGTGAGTATCAAGCGCATCATGACATGCATCTACCTGGAGATCGCCACCATGGGCCTCAGCCGTCTCGACCGCAGCTTCAACTTTATCCGCGAGGCCATTGCAATGGTCCAGACACTAGAGATGCATCAGCGGGACATGCGGGACTCAAGTCAGCTGCCCTACGACCCAGTACGCTTTCAGCAAGTCTACTGGGAAGCTTATATCCATGAGCGATTCCTTGGCATCTCTGGATACCCATGTATTCTTCCTCCACTCCGGACAGGTCTTTCAACATCAGACAGTTGCACGCCGGAACACATCCGGGCCGGCTTCAATTGCTTGATAGATCTCTTTCTGATACTGGACGAGACATTCCTCTCGTATTGGCAATCACAACGAGGGGCGATAGGTGGACTTACGGTGCAATGGATCGAGAGCAAGCAGGTTCAGCTTGATCAAGCTGAGATGAACGCAGCAACCGCCGAGGCAAAGCTTAGCGGCTCTGGACAGCCTGGCTTCACAGAGCTACAACGGGCAGACCTGTTCATCACCAGACTTTGGCTACGGACTTTACTCTGGCAACTCGCCCTCTCGCAGGGGCTGCTCCGGTCAGGGCCGTCAGATATGACACATGAAGGACTATCGCTGCAATTCCCGGCATCACGGCTGTCGATCCAACTTCGAAACCTGGTCAGCCGGCTAAATAGCATCGTAAGTATAGCGACACAAGGCAGCGGCATCATGCAGAAACTCTTTGAGATTGCGAGTACCATCGCCGACGTGCTTGCGCTACCGGCGTCATCACACGACGAGTCAGAGGGCGGATTCAAGTCACACGTCAAAGACTTTCTTTACGTGGTGAACTTTCTGCTCAACCTGGATGGGATGCGGGAGAATCAGAGGGAGTACCTCCGAGAAAAGTATGGCATGCTACAACCGTTGCATGAGAGGGATGAGGTGGGCGGTGGTGGTGTGCTACCTCCTGTGGAGGAGGCGGGGAGGCTATGTTGACCTTTTCATGATGAGGCGAAGTCGCGGGAAGGCTTTCAATGGGGACTGGCTCCTTGTTTACTGTATATAGGTAGTAATCTTAAACTGTTAGGTCATGCGTGTTGTGGACGACACTGGGGGTCACGAGGGTTGTTGGGAAAGGGGGTTTACTTCAACATGTAACTACTCTGCTTCATGGCCAAGGGGACGACATCCTCAATTACTGATCTATAATAGGCACACGAGGGAAAGAAGTATGTGAGAAGGAAATCGGGGTTGGGTCAAGCGTTCGTTGAGCAACAGGAAGCGCACTTTGACAGCAAGTGCGAAAGAAGGCGAACAGAACTTCAGGGGGGCACGGCATCACTCTCAGGTATCAGCGCCGTGGAGGGCTGGGAACCTGCCCAGGTAGAGGCTTAGGGACGATATCATGTTCTTTTACTTTGTCAAGGTGTGTTGGGCATGGGGGCCGAGATGTTGCTTAGACGACATCAAGATAAGTTAACTCTTTTGACTCTTTTGATGAGGCTGAATGACCGAGAAGGAGCCAAGCCAGTTGGGGTGATGCCTGAGGCATGAACTTCTTGGCAAGAACCATGGGAAACCCCACTTAGAGAACCAATTAAAAAATCAAGACGGCAAGGACCAAGGGGTACATGCTCCACTTAGCGAGCTAGTAGACTGACCAATTAAAAATTCAAGACAGATTCTTGTCTTTTTTACTGCCACGGGGGGGGGGGGGTGGCTTGCCAATTGAGCTAACAGACCTGCACAAGATCAAGCAGTTATAGCATAGTATGCTATACCTGAGTTATACTACTATATATAAGGCTCTTTTATAAGATTATATAATTAAATATATAACTTACTTCTTATATAATAAAGAGCTTTTATAAGAGGTTTATTAGCCTTAATAAATTATTTTAAATTAATATAAATAATAATTAATAATTCTTATATATATAAATAAGTTAAAATAATAATAATAATTATTATTATTATATTATTATATTATATTATATAAAGCCTTAATTATTAAACTTATTAGGATTTTAAATATAATAATTTAATTTTTTTTAAATAAAATAAAATCTAATAATAATTATATTATATTATATATTATAATAATTACTTAAATTTAATAAAATTAATAATAAGCTTTAATTATGTAAAAGACTGAAGAATAGAGGCTATATAGTCTTCAAAGACTATAGTGAGTTGGGGGAGAGGCGTGCTAGGCCGTTTTGGGCCATTGGGCAATTTCCTGTACGTAGAAAAGGGCCAAGGCCGCGGCCCTGACCATCATCACCATCATCTTCTTCAAGGATCGGATCAAGAACGGGGAGCTTAAGGGCTCTTTTCTTGAGAAGATCTTCATCACTATCAATTGATCATTTGCCCTTATTATTTCATATGGTATTCAATTCACGAGAAAGTACGTGAAATCTCTTTTTCGAAAGTCATCAGAAGAAAGTCATACAAGAAGTTTTGGCTGTGGTTGGTGTGTTCTGTTTCTCCAACAAATCTGGTGCCCCCACACAGGATCTTTCGATACTCTTGCTTCTGCAATCACTAGGATACGTCACTCGAAGGCGATTCAATTGATCAGACAAGAGAGTGCACTTCTATGCTGCCAATCGATGAACTATAAACACAACCACCACCATCAGGCCAGAAGAGAACGAAACGCCAAAAACCATCACGAGCAAGAAAAGGGTGGGAATCAGAGAGACCCCGAGAAGTCGTTCAGTCAAGAAGGGAGACCGATTACGAATGTACCTTGCTCTCCCTTGACCCCGGATTTCGAGACATCATTTGATCAAATTCCCTTGAAGAGTCGAGGCCAAGATGGACCCCTGGAATACCCCACAAAAGGCGAATACAGGGAGACGGAGGTATCCGCCCACTACGGATGAGGAGAGGAACGACAGCAGTGGCGCATGGTTAAAACGGAAAACCGTATTTCCCAACAAGACCAGTGGTTCAGCCTCACTTGAGATGCCTGGAGGACTCCTAACCAAGCGGCAATGGAAGGTCTTGGTGATAGGAATTCTCATTTGGATGGTCACGAAGAGCGAGGCTCTTACTGCCCTTATCCTCATCCTCACGACATTTGAGGAAGCCTCTGTGGCCAACCTATTCTGCACCATGACGACCGAGAATCTCAAAGCAAGAAACCAGCCTTACCAGGAATCAACTGATCAAACACCTACTACCACGACCACTGTCACCCCAACTGCAAAGATGGCCCAGAACGACAAAAGCGCTGACCTCGGAAAGAGGTCTAGCAACATCCAAGGCCAGAACCCAGAGACAGGAGGCAACAAGGCCGCCGAAGGCAATGACGAGGTCAACAAACTCCTTCTTGAGATCCTAACCAAGGGATCAAATGGTCCCTCTTTTGCTGTCCCTCTTAACCCCCTCCCCCTCTTTAAGGGAAAGGATGTGACTGAGTACCTCCGAAACTTCAACCAGCAGGCGGAACTCACGAATGTCTCTGAGGATAAGAAAGTGGCTCTCTTTGAGTCATACACTGATCAGGAGATCAAGAGGGAGGCCCGACAAGCCATGGATGGACTTGACTGGGAAGCTGCCCAAGAGAGCCTGAAGGAAGCCTTCGCGAATGAAGATTCTGATCAATCAGAGACTATTGAGGAGAAACTGGAAATACTCAACGAAACCCGTCTGAAGGCAGACTTCCATGCTATCATCAAATGGCTGAACGAGCACCAATACCTCTTCCGGCAGATCGACGGCAACTGGAAGACATCCAAGAGCCAATCCAGAGCGGTTTACAAAGCACTCCCTGAGGAGATCATTGAGGGCATTTGCGAAAGACACGACAAGAACGTCCGCGAGCTCACGGCTATGGAGTACCATGCGCTCACCCAAATGATCAAACGATACTGCGAAAATAAGATCGAGATTCGGAAGACTCATCGCCCCCGGAGCGAAGAGGATACCCACCGGGTCACCTGGGCCCCGACTCCTCCTAGGAGCCCGAGCCCTTCCGTGAAGACAACCAAGACCCCAAAGATCCTCAAGAAGGAATCCGACGAAGCAGCAACCTCGAAGATCGACCAGTTGACTGCGCAGCTTGGCCAACTTGCAATCAATGTGGCAAAGGGGCAAGAATCCCAACTGCAACTAGCTCAGATCCTCGAGAGAGAACACAATAGGCAGGCAGCCTCGGGAGCGCCCCAGGCTTTCAGGACAAACGCGGTATCACTTGATCAGATGCACGACAGCCAGAACTTCTACACGACTGCAGCGTACGGATCTGGGCGAGGCAGCTACCAGAACGACATGGCATGCTGGTATTGCAGCGGAAAAAACCACTTCCCAAGCAACTGCGCAGACCTTACCTACGATAAGAACAACGGGATCGCAAGTTATGACCCACAAGGTGGCGCGGCTCTCCTAGGAAGGTCTGACAAGATGTTGCCGCCGAACCTGGTCTACGCCTTTAGGAGGTTTGGGATCCGCAAGTTAGTTCACAACTGGCTAAGCCGCTTCCCAAAATCGGATATGTTTCCCTTGGTCAGGAGGATGGAACAATGCAACCGCGCGGGAATCAACTTCCAACTGACCCAACAAGAGAATATTGTGATCGACGATTGGATCAGGAAGAACCCTGAGGCCATGAACCTCTACCGACCGGCGTATAAGTCCCCAGCAGGGTTTGATCGATTGCCCACGGACGTCACAAAGGGAAACCGGGACATCCTGGACAGCCAGAACCCACCGACAGGAGCCTCCACCAATGTCATTTTAGTCAATGAGGAAACCACGCCTTCTGATCGCGCCGGAGAACTCCAGACGATCACTACGACCACTGTGGCTGTCAACGCCAACGCAAGGAAGAGGGTCCACGTTGAGGACATCGCTGAAGCCCAAGAAGCGGCGCAGCCTATCCGGAGGTCTATATCGACAGAGAAAACACCTATGACAAATAAGGAAAAGAACGAGAGATTTCAGACACTTGAAGAGAAGCAGGCCTCTATCCTACGAGAGCTAAGAGATGAGTATCGAACTAAGAAGATTTCAGTTGCAGCTGACAAGCTTTTTACGTTACTGCCACAACTCGGAAGAGAGGTGGCGGAAGATTGTCAAGACATTGCTGATAGCGTCGAACAGATCACCTACGTCGAACCCGCCCCGCACACTGCTGGAGAGACGCGAGGATCATCTGATCAGAAGCCTCAGGGCATGAACGCGATCCAGATCGGCGAACAAGACTGGGGGGAGTCATACTGGGCAGAGATCAGCGAGAGAGCCGGAGTGAACGCAATCCTCATTGACGACGAGCCTCGAATCGAGCGAACCGACGAAGTCACAAAGGATCTTCAACTCGGCGACTACATTGTCACCACCAATGTAGGCACAAAGGATGAGGAAACCGGGACTGTGGAAGTGCGTCAGGATGAGGCAGAGGCCATAGGAGGGAGCGAGACCACCACCAAGCACGACGAATCGACTGATCAGATGACCAACACCGTCGAACTGTCGCTAGAAGGTCAGGGCAAGGCTGTTGCACAGTCACAAGAGCTGCCCCGAATTCTAGTCCGACTCGACAATGCGGAGGGCAAGGTCATTGAGGCCATGGTGGACACCGGTTCTGAGGGGAACATTATCTCGGAAGAACTCGCGAGGGCGTGTGGCCTCAAGGTTACGACTACGAGGGCTTCTACGACCTCCTTTTCCCAAGACAAGGTCACCATGCTCGGCCAAGCAACCGTCCGGCTATACCTTGGAAACGTATGGATCCAGCAAAGGATGTATGTGGCGCCCTCCAAGGGGATCTCAATTCCCTTCATTCTCGGCATGCCATTCATCCGCTCGGCAAGGGTATCATTTGATCACTCGACTAGGGATGGCTCTATGCTTCTTCGTTGCCAACTGGGCAGCACACGAGTGGTTACCCCTGCTGCCGGCTCTATTAAATGGGAAGCGCCAAACTACGGTATGGACAATGGCATGTCGTTAAAATAAACGTCAACCTTCTATCCAAACCTGAGGTTGACTGGGAGAGTGGTTTGGGACCTGACGACGTCCCGACGTCACTACGGTGGTTGAGTCGGGAGTCGGGGGAGGAGGTGATCGGTATCGTCAAAACAGAGACGATCAGGCAGTACCACGTGGCCCTTCAAGATGCGAACCGTTTGATCAAAAGATGGGCGACAAAGAAACATGAGATACGGAAGGGAAAAGACCCACCCGACCGGAGCAAGTTGAAGGAGATTTTGGTCAACACTCTTTACAAAAGGAAGGGTATCAAGATCCACCCGAGGGACGATGTCCCATCGGACGGCTCTACCCCAGAGGGCGACCCTGAGTGGAAAGCCAAGAAGTGGGAAAGAGTGAAAGAGAAGCTTCAAGAAGATTCGAAGTACCGAGATTGGATCACGCCAAAGTTCTCAGATATCAAGCGAGGAACCCGGATTTACAAGGAGCGACTCCAGGGACTGATTGATCAAGTGGATGGCACCCTCACACGCGAAGAATTGGACGTATTCCTCGAGATTATGTACAATAGAGAGGCGGCACTTGCATGGGAATTTTCAGAATGCGGGAAACTCGACCCACTCGTCGCACCGCCACAGGTCATCAGGGTGGTCGAACACAAGGCCTGGCAAGCAAAAGGCATACCTATTCCCAAGGGATGCGAGAAAGAAGTCATCAAACTTCTGAGAACCCGGATGGAGAGAGGAATCCTCGAAGAAGGCCATGGCCCCTACAGGAACCCGTTCTTTCTTGTTCAGAAAAAGGATGGTCAGTTTCGATTGATCAATTCGGCCACATTGATGAACAAGCACACAATCAGGGATAGCCTCATTCCTCCGGGCTGTGACGAGTTCTCTGCGGACTTTGCCATGTGCAAGATGCTATCACTTCTGGACTTCTTCTCAGGATATGATCAGATGGAGCTGGCAGAGGTCAGCAGGGACCTGACTAGCTTCATGACACCAATTGGGCTACTAAGGATGTGCACGTTGCCGCAGGGAGCCACGAATTCAGTCGCCCAGTTCACCCGGAACATTCTTCGAATCCTGAGAGACCTCATTCCTGACGTATGTCGATCCTTCCTAGACGATATTTGCGTCAGGGGACCCACGACGGACTACGACGGGGAGGAGGCAGCGCCAGGAATACGCCGTTTCGTTCTAGAGCATTTGATCAACCTCGACAAGGTGCTGGTGAACATTGAGCTATCCGGTTGCACAGTTGCAGGCCAGAAGTCTCAATTTTGCAGGACGACAGCGGTAGTGACTGGATACCTCTGTGGAACTTACGGGAGGAAACCGGAGGAAAAGAAAGTTGTGAAGATTTTGGAGTGGAAGGTTTGCCTTGATGTAGGGGAAGTAAGATCCTTCCTAGGCATCGTTGGGTACTATCGTCAATGGATCAAATGGTTCGCGTGGATTGCGAAAGCCTTGACGGATCTACTGAAGAAGGACGCTGAGTTTGTCTGGGGAGCGGACCAAAAAGAGGCCATGGAGACGTTGAAGAAGAAGATCACGGCACCGCCGATTCTTATTACTCTCAACTACTCCGAAGAAGCTGGGGAGGTGATCCTTATGGTCGACGCAAGCCTCCTGGGCTGGGGAGGCGTTCTGATGCAGTTGATCGATGGAAAACGGAAGCCGATTCGATTCGAATCCGGATTGTGGAACCCAGCCGAGACCAAGTACGACGCAACGAAGAGGGAATGCAGGGCAGTCCTTTACGCATTTCGCCGCCTCAGAGGCATGATATACGGCATCCCCTTCGTCCTCGAGACCGATTCGCAAGTGCTGGTCCACCAAATCAACGGCAAGGCAGACGACGTCCCCGGATCCCTAGTTCTGAGATGGATCAGCTACCTTCTTTTGTTCGATTTCACGGTTAGACATGTACCTGGAAAGAAGAACCGCGTGGCGGATGGGTTATCACGAAAACACGCGGGACCATCTGATCAAATGGATGCCCAGGTTGAAGGGGATATTGAGGACTTCATTGACCTCCATCTCAACTCAGTCCACGTCAACAACGAGCCCAGCGTCTTAGATGGCACCTACTCGCAGGGGCACAAGGACATAGCCAAATACCTCTGCACGTTCGAGAAACCTGAGGGGCTAACACGCTCGCAATTGCAATGGTTCAAGAGAAAAGCCCTTACATTCTTTGTCCAAGGGCGACGACTCTGGAAACGAGCCAAAAGGGACTACGACTCACCCCTACTAGTGGTCGATGATCTACCAACGCAGAGGAAGTTGATCAAATCATACCACATCGATAGCGGCCACAAAGGGAGAGAGGTGACCTACAACCTCACGAAGAGGAGATACTTCTGGAATGGCATGTGGAGCCAGATCTCGGAAGCGGTGCGGTGCTGTCCGACTTGTCAGGTACACGCCCCTTGGAGGCCATTGGAAGCCGTCCAGTTCACCCAACCATTTGATCCTATGATCAAGGTTCATTTCGACTGCCAATACATGCCCCTTGACCAAGGATTCAAGTACCTAGCAGAAGCAAGGTGCGACATGACAGGATGGGTGGAAGCAATTCCCTTGAAAAAGATCTCGGCTGCGGCGCTAAAACGCTTCGCAACCAACCTTATTTACCGATTTGGCATGATTTCTGCGGCTGTTGTGGATGGTGGTCCCGAATTTAAGAAGGAGTTCCCACCCTTGCTTGAAGAATTGGGAGTACAAAAGATCCAAATATCTCCATACAACGCTAAGGCCAACGGCATCAACGAACGAGGACATTACTCCCTTTCGATGGCTTTGAGGAAGTTGAAGAAGAAGGGGAAGGCAAACTGGTACAACAACCTGGAGAAAGCACTGTTTGCCGACAGAACAGCTGCGAAGGCACCACATGGACACTCCCCTTTCTACCTTATCCACGGCTGGGAGCCAGCGTACCCTCTGGAGGTTGATGTTCCTACTTGGCGATTGATCAATTGGGATGACGTGGCTACAACAGAAGACCTCGTCCTAGCGAGGATCAGGGTCCTCGAAAGGAAAGGCAAAGACGTAGAGGCAGCACGACAGAAGATCGGGGCATTCCGGGCGAAGGTCGCGAAGAAACAGAACGAGAAGAATGTTCACAGGCTGAGAAAGACCCCCCTGAAGGTCGGGGACTTGGTATTGAGATTCGATGTTCCCCGATCAATTGATATGTCGACAAAGATGAAGATGGCGCGCAAATGGTACGGTCCGTTTCGCATCTTCAAACATCACGACGGAGCGAATTACTATAAGCTGGAGACGCTTGATGGCTATGGGGTCACTAAATCTATCCACGGAGATCACCTGAAGAAGTTCGTGAAGGACGAGAACGGTTGGTGGGAAGGAGAATCAGACGAAGAGGAAGCCCTCAAGAAGCTCCAGGAGGAGAAGGAGAATTCCAAGGGATGCGAAAGGGAGGAGAATACACGAGTGACAAGGAGCATGAAGAATTCGACTGATCAAATGGTTGATCAAGAAAACGATAGCGAAAGCGACAGCACAGACAGTGGGGAGGAAGATCTTGGTGAGAAGAGTGAGATACAGTACCCGAAGAGACAGACTCCAGTGCGCATGGAAGTTCAACTCCCTGGCCTCACTGCTGAGCAAGCTGCTCAGTATGAGAGTCTCTAAGGAGAAACGGCGAGATGGGCAGCTGGCACTAGAAACCTGTGAGGATCCTTAGGTTTCTAGTGGGGGAGGAGGAGAGGAAGGAGAAATTTTGTACCACAACACAACCACCGGAAATTTTCAACAAAACCGGACATTTCATTTTACGAGGGACACGCAGAACATTTGATCAGACACCAGGGACACCGCCCAAGACACAGGGGACGCTGTCCAGGACAGGCTGGACACAACAAGAGACAGCCACGACACCATCCACGACATTTCAGACACAACACTCAAATTTGCCGTTTCTCAGAAAACAGGCTTAACACAAGGGCAACAGAAAGCAGCCAGGAATAGACGAGGGTCCCGACAAGAACATTGGAAGCAGCTGGAAACAATTGATCAATTAAAAAGCAACTACGGACGCAAAACCAGGCCTCGCCATGAGGTGGGCCGAAACAACAAAAACGCCATGCCACGCCCACTCAGAATCCACAATCACTCGAAACGCATCGCCTCCCAAAAACCAGTCTCATCAGCCCTCTCCTCAAGGGCAGGTCCTCGCAACTCATCAAGAAGTTGACGGTCCGTTTCGGCAGACCCATCAATTGAAGGGTACTCGCAGGAAATACGAGGACAAGACATTGGATTCAATTGATCAATTGAAACCTCATCCGGTGGATTCGCTGGAGTCTCCTTTCCCAGAAGCGGCCATTCCAGAGGACCCTCCGTAGCGGACTTCGGTTGGTATCCAGTCATGAACTCCCACTCGCAGGGCTTTTGGTGCCAAACGCAGTTGGCGCACTTCCCATTCATGAAGCCCTTAATAGAGACACAAGTCGAGAAGGGATATAAGATGTGCTCCTTGTTCCAGCTGATGTTCGTTAAGTACGACTGACAGCAATGGCGACAAAGAATGGGGTTGCGGTGACCGAGAAGGGCGATTCCAAGAGCCTTTCGGTGCTCAGGGCGTGAGATCAATTGCTTGAAGAACCAACCGCGAGGATGGGCGAAATCAGCGGGGATGTAGATGGGCTGAAGAGGACGCTTGGAGATCAGGGAGACGAGCTCCCCTATGACCTTGTCGGGAGTACCGCAGCGTTCGAAGAACATTTTTGCATGCGCCTTTGGGTTCTCACCCGGGCTATCGTTGAAAGCGAGCTCCACGTACAAAGGATAACCATCCCGGTCGAGAGCGAAGCGAGAACAGATCCAGACCTTCAGACACTCGCGGATCTGTTTGATCATTTGGTCAGAAAGAGCATCAAGGGCAGAAAGGATTTGAGAACGAGCCTGGGGAAGACGGGCGTTCTTTGCCTCCTGAGGGGTGATCTTGAAACCTCCGCGATCGCTCCATTGCGAAGAGGTGCCCTTCTGGAAGTCGGAATGCGAAATCTGAGTCTCGGCGACAGCCTGAATGTTGGGAAGAAGATTCCGCCGCTTGGTGGCGAGAACCTCATGAGGAAGCGGCACAGACATGATGAATCAATTGATTAGAAAGCGCAGAGGGGTGTGAAGTTGAAGAGGAAGAGGAGGGAAGAATGAGGAGCACGGAAGGTTAAGTATGTGAGAAGGAAGAAAGACGCGTTGGAAAGGAGTGGCCTGTTCGGGTGACCTCCACGCGTGAGACTGTGAATCACGACCAACCTTCGCGGGCAACAAAAGAACCGTTCAGCACCGAAGCAGTTGAACGGCCGACCTTCTCTTTTCACACCCACCGCACAGGTAGCACTCTGCCTCTTCTCTTTGTGCAGACAAAGCCTGAACTCACTTTGTTCCCTCCCGCCTCTTCACAAACCAACTGATCAAACCACAAATGCCCTTTTGTTCGTTTCGCACAACCATAATCGACGCTTGAACAGACGAGAATCCTTTGTCTGATGACCCTCGGATCAGGACGAATCCAGTGACCAGTTTCATTGCGACCCCTACACCTCTTCGAAGATCACCACTATAAAGAGCATCGAGTCCTTCCACATTTGATCAGACAAGACGACACCACAACTACATCACATACCCGCCACGAAGACGAAAAAGAACCGCGATACCCTGATCTATACCCCACGAGTCATCAAGATGCCACCAAAGACCGCATTCTTTGCCCCCAAGGGCCCTCGCAGGTACATGAGCACACGGCCGAAGCAAGCTTACCTGGTTGCCCGGGTCAAAGGCGTTGGCGGGCAAGGAAGCTTCCTTGAGAAGGACGAGACCATCGCTGACACAATTCCCGAATTATACGACAACGAACAACCACCATTCTTCCAGCCTCGTGAGGAATGGGACCACTGGGACCCGGCAACCTTCGAGTACCCTTGCACAACGGACGATCGGCAATTGATCAATCGAAAGCTGGGTAAGACTGAGCTCCAGCGAAGCTACTTCGAGAACCCAACCTTCGATATCTCCTGGGCGGACCACGTTGAAAGCCTTTGGTGTCTGCACCAGGATCTGGCTTGCGACGACAAGATGCTGCTTAATATCTCGATTGGAGGAGTACTGCGGATGCTCGCGAATGGGCTTGAGAAGGTCGTTACAGTCACTAGGTGCGAGATTGAGATCCCCGGGAAGGAGTCAAAGTGCAATTCCCATTGGAATACCCCTACGCCATACCTGCCAGATCATTACGACCGGATTAAAGCCTACTTCGACATGGGGTTCTACGGGCCCAGGAGATGGCGTGAGTCCCTTATCGGGAAGAGATTCTTCGCTGGCTTTGTCCGACACCGATATAATAGCCACTTCACAACCTTCATTTGGGATAGGAAGAAGGCAGACCTCTACCACTTTGATACCCTACTAGATGATCAGATGATTCGAGCGAAGAACGTCTCCCTTGCCTGGAGAGAGCACCTTGCAGTGGCCGGACAACCTTACGACTTCAACTTTCACGCAATCCCACTGACTCCGCAACGGGGAGCCTGGGAGTGTGGCCTTTTATCTTCGTTTTGTCTCTTTCAGACCCTTAGAGGGTTAGTAGGATTGAGTGCAGACGCACTTGCCCAACTTTGCCCCCCCACGACCCTGGAGATCGACGGAGAGGAGAACGAACCAGTGGGATCATTTGATCTATTGGTCCGTGACTGGATGCTAGACTCCTGGACCCGCGTGGGAAAGTCCAAGGATATCGCATACGACGACAATGTGGAAGTGATCAAGGGTATTTTTCAGACCATGATCATTGACGAGATCGGGATCCAAGACGGCTACTATTTGCACAGAACCGGAAGAGGACCTTTTGCGAAGCACCAATCGACCTACGCAGACGAAGTCAAGTACAAACCAAGCTTCCCCGACGAATTGAGAGCCACAGAATGGCTCTACACTGACATGGGAGGTTACATGCCCGCAGAGCCGGAATCCATCGGTACTGTTAGCAACTGGACGATTGATCGCTTGATCCCAGCCCCAACGATAAATCCTGGCGACAAGGCACTTCTTCCGCGAGGACCTGGGCCATTATCAGCCATTGTCATGGCTCCGGTCCTTGCAGACATGCCTGATGATCTGATCAGATGGTACAAGCGCCAGGACTTCGAAATCAAGGACAATGTGCCAATTTTTGAAGGCGGGGAACTCATCTCGTCGGATTCTTCGTCGAGTTCTGAAGTACCCGACCCGGGGTCGAAGGCAGCGGTGAAGAAGCCAGTGAACCCAGTGTCGAACCGCAAGAAGCAATTGATCAAACTCCCACGATTCCCCCCGTCAACAGCGTCAACGGCGACAGGCAAGCCTGTCACCCCGGCACCTCCCGAGAAGACGAAGGACCCCTGGACTCCGAGCGGGCCTCTGAAGTCCCTCTCGCTGGGCACCCCGAAGCGCCCACGCCCCTCCTCGAAGAGTAGCTCTGAGTACGTGCAGTCGAGCTCGTCGTCAAGCTCTGGAGGAAAGGAATCTAAGCCAGGGGCTCAGGGAGGCGACGAACCAGTTGATCAAACGATGACAGGTTATGGTTGGGGCGAGTGCAAGGACGGGCGGCCCTACGTTGCTGATATTGTACCTGACATTCGGGGCGCCGAACAGTTTACTTGCTCGACTTTGGAGAGCGATGATGAATGCACTCCGGCAAAGAGAACAGTGGGCCCGGCCACGAAGATCATGTCGACATTTCCAGGGTTGAAAGGCTGGCTTGGGGAGGTAGGAAGCCGGCCTACGCAGCGACTGCTGACTGGGAACTACGCAACTTACGTGCCAGCGGGTCTTGTGAGACCGTCCCAGTGGGATGACATTATACGAGCAGCCGCGCAGCCATGGGCCCCTGCCACGGCTTCGAAGGAGAGCAGGGACGAGAGAATGAAGAAGCGGCAGAGAAGCCGAGGCGAATGATCAAATGGTTCATGAGCACTCTAGTGGGTAGGAAATCGAGTTGGGGAGGTCACGGGCCAAAACAGGCGAAAGAAGTGTCTGGGATTGACGAGGCTTTTGGGAACCGTGAGGACAGGTGTCAAAGCCTCGTGGGGAGCTGTGAGTTGGGGGAGAGGCGTGCTAGGCCGTTTTGGGCCATTGGGCAATTTCCTGTACGTAGAAAAGGGCCAAGGCCGCGGCCCTGACCATCATCACCATCATCTTCTTCAAGGATCGGATCAAGAACGGGGAGCTTAAGGGCTCTTTTCTTGAGAAGATCTTCATCACTATCAATTGATCATTTGCCCTTATTATTTCATATGGTATTCAATTCACGAGAAAGTACGTGAAATCTCTTTTTCGAAAGTCATCAGAAGAAAGTCATACAAGAAGTTTTGGCTGTGGTTGGTGTGTTCTGTTTCTCCAACAAAATAGGGTAGGTAATAGAGATAGGAGGTGAATAGGCAGTGGAATTAGTCTTAACAAATAGCTGATTAGCTAGGTAGCAAATCATTGGCTAATAAAAGTGGGTCACAAAGTAAATAGAGGTATAGGGTAGAAGGCCAGCTTCTTATTAGTGGTCTTATTGTCTGAATTAAATCAAGATCTAGAGAGCTATTTCTAAAAGAGGGTTTATAGCTTATATAGCAAATTGCTCAGAATCTATTAGCCCGATTTGGATAGAAGTTATACCGTCGGATAGCCCTAATTCCGGGCTTTAAAACCCTATTAGTTTTACTAGCAACGGATAACTAGAAGCCGAGTTATAGCATAATAGAAGTTAAAACCTATAGGGTTTTAAACTAGGATATTTAAAACCGGATAGGAAATACCCTATAGAAGGAGACGGGTTTAACGGCGTTATCGGGCTTATAATAAAACCCTAAGTCCGAGATCACGTGACCTTCCTAAAAGGGAAAAAAGCTCAGAAAGGGCAATATTAACACTCCCTTATATCTTGCTTATCTAAGCGGCTATTGCTTAGGTAAGCAGTTTATAGGGAAGCGCATAAGCTAAAGTATAGGGTAATAAAATACTAAGCTTATATCTTATAAGCTTATTTTTCTAGAATTTTATTTATAAAAGACCTTCTTAGAAATAAGGTATTTTACAAATTATATATATAGTTAATATATATATTACTAATAGAAAACTAATTTATTAATTATATATTAAAATATAAAGAATTTATAATAAGTAATAAAATTAATATTTTTTAAAACTAAAAAAAAAGAAATTATTTAAATTATAAAATAAAATAAAATAAAATAAAATAATATAATATAAATAATAATAATAAATATAATAATAAATTAAATTATATAGAAATACTATAAAAAAAATTATTAATAATTTTTAATATAATTTTTAAGCTTTAATTATAATATAAATATATTATTAATATTAAAATATTATAACCTAATATTAATATAATAGTCTTTTTTTTTAAACTTTTTATTACTTATAATTAAAGAGTTATACCTAGCTATATTATTATAAAGGGAAATCTAATAGCAAAAATATATAGGTTTAGGGAGGCACTTCACTCTGACTCGCAAGGTTATCGAGCTCAATCAGAGACATTGCGATGCAACTTGTGTAGACGGCTATGCACACCAGGTTACACATCGACCTAGACACCAACAAGAGGAGATTCCCAAGCGGCGAGTAGACCCCACAACACTTGACGAATACTTGACAGCATGCCATGAACTCATCTTTTCCGGATTCGCCGTGGAAACAAACCCACGAGAACTCTCATTGGGCTACGCGGACAGACCACAGGACAAGCCCTGTCCTAAGTTGAAGCCCTGGGTCGACTTTATAGACCAGCAGAGACTCACCTTTAGCAAACTCTACGACGCACTCGGATCCGAGACTCGAGTCTTTCCGAACAGAGATGTCATGGAGCGTCTCTCGAAGGGACGGTCCCCTCGGAAGCCGATTGGAGACGAAACCTTTTTCCGATTCTTCATGCGGGATAGCCTTGAGAAGCCGGTTGCCGCCATTATTTCGGAGCTTGCCAATATTGAAAAGGTCCGAGAGGCATTTGATATTGAAGACGGTGTCGACTTTGAGGATAGGCAGGATGGGGTAGCCCATGATAGGCGTATGCCAACCCCCTGTGCCCCTGGCAGCCACGTCGGCCAGCCATCCGTGCAGCAAGAGCTAGTTTACGTCGTCGACTGGAGGTTGCCTCACATGCTGACAGCTCCTCGTCTTCGTGTTGGGCTTCGGGAGATGGACGTCTACGAAGAGGTTGCGATTCTGGAGTCGTTGCTACCGGCTTGTCGAGATTCGAATGCGCGGTTCCGGTATCACGCAGAAAAGCTGACGGCGCGTGCTCTCACGGATGCGTATGGCCAGATGATTAAAGGGGGGGGGGGTAGAGTACGGAATCGTCACGACAGGCGAGGCTACGGTGTTTCTCAAGGTTGACTGGGATGAGCCTGGGATCCTCTACTATCATCTGGCCGAGTTTGGACACGATGCGTCTGCTCATCCATCGAACGGTCCGATCTGCACTGCCGTGGGTCAGCACCTGGCCTTTACTCTCATGCTTATCGGACAGCAAGGTCGACCAAGTCTAAAGGAGCGAAGGAAGGCCACTGTCGGTTTGAAGACATGGAAGGCTGACTTTGTGGACATTTGGCGGTCTATCCCAGAATCAGAACGATGGGCGACGCCGGTGAACTGTCATGAGCCAACCACGTATAAAGGCATTGATCGGTCGCCAAATTTCCCACTTCCCGAGGAGATTGACAAGACACTGTCGAGGAAGGATGAAGACCTGGAGCCGTCTGAGGATGAATCGACATCATCGTGGCAAGATCTTGGCGATTGGACAGACCTGTACTTCTGTGCTTGAGCTGGCGTTGGGCAAGGGAGGGTTGTTCTCTTTGGTTTTTCTCGGGCGCATGAGAATTAAGGTCTTTGTTATATGAATCCCTGTTTCGTTGTGTTGTGGCTATTTCTTGGCGAATATTTGGGTCATGGGGGCCGATATCGTCTGACCTTTAGCCTGTTCGAGACGACCAAGGAAGAGAAGGATTTTGATCTTGAGCCTACTGATGGCGACCTGCCTCCTGGTGTCGACTTCCGAATGGAGATCGAGACGGAACCCTTCAGCGTGTTCAACGCCAAGAAGTTTCCCGGATTGATGGACCGCCAGTTTGTGGTCTCGATTATTCTTTGAGTCGTTATTTGAGCCTTCTGGCGTCTATTAATAGACGAATAATATAATTACGACCTGTTTAACACCTCTATTATTTCTAGGTTCATACTCATGATGTTTGAGATGAGGTTAAGCGGAGTATTTTCACGATATTCTTGCTTAGCTCATCTTTGAAGAAGAGTTTTCCACTGGCTTCAACTCTTTCACTCAGATCGCTACCCTACACCCTCACAACTCTCAATCGCAGCAATGCATTACCAACCCGTCGACGAAATGGTCGACAACGCTTACATCGGCCGTCCTCAAGAGGAGGTTCAGGTTGAGCCTGAAGCCTCCAACGATGCTCTGGATGACGTCTTTGGGTCGGGCCCCTCATCGCCGACGGCGGAGCATCATCGTGATGAATCGGTTTCTCATCCTTCTGACATCAACCGCTTGCAAACAGAGCACACGACAGCAGGCTACCGAGAAGGAATCACTGTCTCAAAGGAAAAGAGTCTACAAGAGGGCTTTGACGAAGGCTTCAGTCTAGGCGCGACCGTAGGACTCAAAGCCGGTCAGCTCCTCGGCGTACTAGAAGGCATCGCCGAAGCAGCACGCACACCCGAAACCACCTCACTCCTCCGCCAAGCGCGCGAAGACCTGAGCGTGCAGGGCATCTTCAAGCCCGACTACTGGGCCGAGGACGGCAACTGGAAGTACGAAGTCAAAGCCGATGGCGACGATGTTGTGTTTGCGGACGTGGCCGACGCGCACCCGCTGATCAAAAAGTGGACGGCTGCCGTGGACGAGCAGGTGGCGCTGTGGAGGATCGACAGGGGCGTCTTGGATGATGAGACGGGGGAGAGGCTTGAGGGTGTCATGGATGAGCCGCTTGTCTCGGCTGGTGCACCGGCTACTAAGAAGCCGCTTGATTGGTGAGGTTGAGACTGTGAATGGATATTCTATCACGAGGAACTGTCGCTTCGAGGAAGCAGGAGAGGATAGAGGCGAAGAGTAGGAGTAGATTGGGTATGTTGACTTTCACAACACTGATAATGTCGTGATACTGACCTTTGGACAGACTGAGCCATCTGACTTGGGGACTTGCAGTTGAAGCCATGAGCGAGGACACTCAAAACTACAAGCCGGGATCATCATTTCCACGATTGACTATCGGATGACTGTCTAGAAATGACGAAGAGTTGCCGTGTGCCGCCTCCCTGGCAATCCGGCGTGGAGTTGAACATCAGCAAGGGGAAAATAGATCGGAAACTAAAGCCATGAAACAAAAGAGCAATTCTGTCTTGCAAAGATACATTGTTCTAACCATTTACAATGCCGTTTCCCCCTCTTTTCCCGTCAAATGTTTCGCGTGCGAAGGCGGATCTTAGACATCCCCATAACCGGGTTGTTTGCATCCATGTCCCAAAAGCAACTTCAAGTCGATGTGTAACAAAACATGACGGGACGGTAGGAACCCCTAAATGATGCCGTGTCTTGCTCTTGGAATAGCTGCTCGAACACACTGAGTAATGTCATTGAGATGGTACCGTTGGACAAAAACTCTGATTCCTGTCTTTCCAGCTTGGCCGAGCCCAGTATTGGGACTGTTGTTGCGGAAATAAATGCAAAAATGCCATCATCATGTCTCTCCTCACCCTAAATCCCGATCCAAGACATGCGGCAACCCCAGCTCGGGCCTTTTACGTCAAGCGTCTATTTGCTTTTTCGCTCAGGCACTACCGTCTAGTTTCAAGGCGGACAATTTCATTGTTTCAAGGGTTCATCAGACAATGTTCCGGTTGAGCATAGTTGTAAGGCGAGTTGATTGGTTTTCTGTGGTGATGGTTCACTTTTCTGGGGGCGGCACAACTGGATAATCTGAGATGCCGTCATTTTATGAATCGGACCGCTCTCTTTCCATGTCTCTTGTTTGGTAATATTCAGATGTGATGGTCTAAGGATACTGAGAGCTACGATAATGGGCGATCCAAGACTCCACGGATAGAGAGAATATGAAGGATAAAAGACCATCGCTTCCCTCTTCATTTCGATTCTTCATCCTCATCACTTCTTGTATTCACCTTGCCACCTGTTCATAACAGAGTCACTCGTTTGACGTGCCATTCTCTTGTACACAAAAAGCAACATACACTCGTTCTACTAGCAACAATGAAGTACAACGCCTTCGCCCTCCCTGCCCTCGCGGCCACCGCCGATGCTCTGCTATCCCTCAACGCAGACATCAAGCTCCCCCTGGGCATCGAGCTTCCCATCAATCTTGACATCGGTCCCAAGGGTAACCCTCCCGCGGACTGCATTGATGTCTGGCACCCTCCTCACCATGGTGTTGACATTGATGGTTGTGACCATGATGATGATGATGGTTGGCATTGGGTTCACCCTGGAAAACCTAACCATCCTGACCAGGGCGAGTATGTCTGGACTACCAAGACTATCACTCATGTTAACACCGTCGTTGACTGCCCGACCAATGTCCCTCACTGCCCTGGTCGTTACGCCTCTGCTGTGGTCCCTGAGACGACCACCATCTGCCCTGTTCCTGTGAAGACGGGTTACACGGCTCCAGGCAATGGCGAGGAGTACCTTCATCCCCCCCAGACGAAGGATTATCCTCACCCCGTCCAGACCAAGGTCTACCCCCAGCCTACTGGATCCAACGGCTATGAGCCCGCCGCCCCTTACTACCCCCCTGCTCAGACGGATGACTGCCCTGAGTCTGTCGAAACCGAGGCTTATCACCAGCCTGGCCAGAACACTGGATACCCTTACTCTGGGCAAGGAAACGCTTATCCTCAGCCAAGGAGCTACGAGTACCCCGTTCCCGGCGAGACGAACGAGTACCCTGAAGTCCCCGAGCACAACGAGTACCCTGAAGTCCCTGAGCACAACGAGTACCCTGAGCCTGCCGAGACTGAGGAGTATCCCCAGCCTGCTGTGACCAGCGAGATTGAGGAGTACCCTGAGCCCCAAGAAACTGAGGAGTACCACGAGCCTGAGGAGATGGCTGAGTACCCTGAGCCTATCGACACCGAGTATCCTGAGCTCAGCGAGACCAACGAGTACCCTGAGCCTACCAAGGGCTACCCCGTGACTTCTGAGGAGCCCATCTACACTCACCCGGCCGAGACCACTCCTTGCCCTTCCGACAAGGCTACCAAGCCCGTCTACAGCTCCCCTCAGCCCCCCGCCGAGACCGCCGAGCCTGAGCATCCTACCTACGAGAAGCCCGGATACACAGCTGAGGAGACGTCTACTCCCGTCGAGCACCCCGTGTACACCAAGTCTGTCCCTGCTGAGAAGCCCACATATCCTGCCGGCGAGACTCCTGTGTACACCCCCGTGCAGCCTGTCCCTACCGGCGAGAAGCCTGGTTACGTCCCTGAGGCCCCCGAGACTCCTTCTGCCGAGACTTACACTCTTCCTGCTGGACAGCCCGAGTACCCCATCCACCCTTCTCCTTCTGCCGAGACTGGCGCCTACCCTCCCCCTCCTCCCGGCAGCCCTACTACTGAGGTTCCCGCCTACTGCCCTGGCCCTGGTTGCCCCGCGCCCACCACTGTCGGTACCATCCAGACTCCTGGCTACGCTACCCCTACCGCGCCCGTTATCGTCGGTGCTGCTGCCCGAAGTGGCTATGGCATCGCTGGCGTTGTTGCCGCCGTTGCTGCTGCCGCCGTTGCTCTCTTCTAGACATAATTATATTTCGACCTGTGTGAATTTTCTCAAGATTTCATGCGCATGACAGTAATGGTTGTAGGAAATGATGGCGATGCGATCTGAGACATTTTGATGTGGTTCAATTCTCTTCTTCTGGCGTCCCGTGCTCGGGATTGACTACTGTATTTAGTCTTGATACATAATTCATTCTCATTTGTAATTCTATTCCTGCTTCCAAGTGTTAGATATGTGAATCTTCTTCAGTGCCGGGCCACTTACTTTTCTCATGGTCCAGAACCCTGAATCGGTGCGTTTTTGTCTCCAGATTCCCCCGACCTGAGGTCTCTTGAGACTCGGGTCTTTTCCAAAGACTTTCGAGGGGTATTCGGGTCCATCTATGCCCATATATGCCTTAACGTCTTTGGCTGGACAATGCCCCTGTCCTTCGCGCCTTGACGCAGCTGTGTTTGAAGTCTGTGTGTAGTATTCATGGCATCATCCGATAATTTCAACCATTGACATACTCCTGTAGCTGCTTGGTGACATCCTCGATACGATCATACTTGCCATACAGCTCCTTGGTCGTTTCCCAATCACGACCTTCTCTACCAAACATAATAAGCTTGACCACCTTGCCGTCATCGTCCATCACGACTCTACCGCTGCGGTCGTCGGCCCAGGAAAAGCGAATCTGCTTGGCTTCGATATCGGCAATGCCGACCTCGACAATATCGTCTGGCATAATATCCTCGGCCGTCTTGTCGTGCAGACCGAGACTTCGTCTCAAATCGGCTGATACACCAAGTCGGTTATGGTATCGCACAATCTCCCTTCTGAGTGTCCTCACGAAACGGTCTAGATCCTGCTTTGGTGGATTATCGCTCTCGGGGCGTGGCGCCGGGAGATGACGGGCGGCCAGACCGGAAAGTGGTATAGAGGGAGGGAGGGTGTGGCGGTGAATGCGTAGGTTCTTGGAGTTGAAGTACGGTCTGTTGAGCATGACGTAGTAGGGTCGTAAGAACTGGCCCTTGGACATGACTTCGAAGCGTAACCCGAGGACATGGCCACCGTCGACGGCATTGGGATCAGGGTCGTGGACCTTGAAGGAGGTAATGGAGCTGCATATGCGGTAGAGACATTGTTGATTGTAAGCCTTTTGCTTGTCGGCTTCGCTAAGAAGCTTTGCGCGAGCTGGGGTAGTGCTTCGAGACGAAAGGATACTGCTAGATGGCTTGAGAAGACTCCTAGTCGAGGAAGAGGCGAGGATGGTGGAGGTTTCGATCTTGAGCGACTTGCGCAAGGAAGCGACTGACCTAGCTGTTAGCTTGGTGCAATTGGGTGCGCCCGTCGCTATGGCGGCTCACCTTGCTCTTTCAGAGTCGCAATTTCCTGATCGAGAGGATTGACATCCGGGAGGGTTAATTCTGACGACATGATGGTCTCGTTTGCAGACGGTGAGACTGTTGTTGCCCAGTTGTTGGTGTTGAGAATGCAGCTGTTTACAAACAATCAAGCTCGACCAGTCGTAGCTGGCGGAGCTCTGACAGGGGGGGACGATAAGATAAGACTAGATGGTCTGTGCGGATAATACAAACCCCGAGATCCGGGGTTCTTGCTGTTCCATCATGATGGCAAATTCATGAGAAGCCTGGAGTGAGTCATCTCTTTCATCAGGAATTCCATTTCTAATCAGGCAGAAGAATCGCCTTTGACGCTTCAAACGATTCTCAAATCCCGATCCAACACGTCTTCACATGTCGTAAGCAAAGTCATGCGCCGGACCCCAGGTTCAAAGACAAGCCACAGCACATGGCCCAGTGACAGCCAGAGCCCGGATCTCAAATCAAGCAGCACGTCTGATTGGTAATCCAGAGGGCGAGATGCCGGGCGGGGAGCCAGTGGAGTCTTTCCCCCCTCGCCATGATTTCAATCAATCAATCACCCCCTGACGCGCTGCCTGTTTGGGAAGACGCGCGAGTTCCGAGAGGTGAGGCGTCCCCTGTCTTTTGAGGTGGCTCGAGAGCTCTTGTTGCTTGTTTCTTATGGGAGGCTTGATCGCATCATCTCTGTATCGTTATTTCTGTCCAGGCTCTACTTCGGAGGATATCGTTGACGTTGACCTTGTCGCCACCAAACGTGTCAAAGAGAGGCCAGGGACAAAAGAGACGAGACCTTCTCCATCAAGATCCAGATCCATCCATCCACATCGAAGCAATCCAATCAGATCTCATCCTTTAGCCTGAAGAGGCCACGGTAGCGGAAGCTGTTTTTTTCCTACGCCAACCCGGTTCCGTATCCCGAAACGCTACTACGGACTTATTCTTCTGAACCTTTGCGGCTCGCCGGTTTGCTGCCTGGTTTGGTTCGGGCATACCTGTTCTAGTTGTTGATTCTCGTCCTGTTACCATCTTCTCTCCCTTCCTTTGACCACTATCTATCTGTAATATTCTCTCTCTCCTTTATTCACTTTACTCAACTTTACTCAACTCAACTCGAATATCTACCACGTTCCCCCCTGTCGACTTGATACGTCACCGAGAGCCCGTGTCCCACCCCCCAAGATCTGACTTTGACGCTGTCCAACGCCTCGTCGCACTCATTGCGACCTCTTGAGATAACACCTCCTTAACGCGCTCGTACCTCGATCTTTCTTCCGCCACCTATGACCGCCAGAGCCCGACGACCACAGAACAAAAACCGCCGACCGCCCCTGACGCTCAAGGTAGAGGATGCGAATGGAAACGGACTCGGAAACGGCATCATGAGCAGCGGAGTAGAAATGCGGCGCAAGGCCGCCAACCCTGACGCCGACAACGTCGCCGCAAACTTCATCAAGAGCGAGTCCTTCTCCCTTGACGACCCCGTCCCCAAGACCCCGGCCCTCAACAACCATGGCTTCTTGGACCTCCCCCGACAGGACCAGAGGAACTTTCTCCTCCTGGTCCTCCTATACTTTCTTCAGGGCATCCCCATGGGTCTCGCGACGGGATCTGTGCCGTTCTTGCTCAAGAACCATATGTCTTATAGCGAGATTGGCGTCTTCAGCTTGGCTTCGTATCCGTACTCTCTCAAGCTGTTCTGGAGCCCCTTTGTGGATGCCATCTGGAGCCCCAAGATTGGACGAAGAAAGACATGGATCGTCCCAATTCAGTTTCTCTCAGGCTTTGGTATGCTATGGCTGGGATCGCATGTGGAGGACATGATGGCTTCAGCAGGGAAGCCCGGCGGCATGACTGCTTTTTCTTTCATGCTCTGGTGGTTCTTCTTGGTCCTGATGTGCGCAACCCAGGATATCGCTGTTGATGGCTGGGCGCTCACGCTCTTGACACCCGGAAATGTGTCGTATGCGTCCACCGCTCAGACTGTCGGTCTTACAGCCGGCCACTTCATGTCCTATACCGTCTTCCTCGCCTTTAACGCCGCCGACTTTGCCAACAAGTGGTTCCGAGCTGTCCCCTCGGATGACGGCCTCATCTCTCTTGGTGGATATCTCAAGTTCTGGGGCTGGTCGTACATCATCGTCACCGTTGGACTCGGCCTCCTCAAGAAGGAGGAAAAGTCGCACAACGAGGATGGCGTGTGGGATGTGTACCGCATCATGTGGGGTATCCTCAAGCTCAAGAACGTGCAGACCATCATCATTGTCCATCTTATTGCCAAGATTGGCTTCCAGGCCAACGACGGCGTCACCAACCTGAAGCTTCTGGACAAGGGTTTTGGCAAGGACAACATGGCTCTCACTGTTCTCATTGACTTTCCTTTCGAAATTGGCCTGGGCTATTATGCTGGCATGTGGTCGCAAAAGTATACACCCATGCGATTGTGGTGCTGGGGCTTCATGGGTAGACTTGTCGCAGCTCTGACGGCCCAATTTGTCGTGGCCATCTTTCCTGCCGAGGGAGTTACTTCTTGGTATCTCTTGGTTGTCATCGCCGAGCATCTCTTTTCGACTTTTACCAACACCATCATGTTTGTCGCTGTTTCGGCCTTCCACGCGCGAGTGTCGGACCCTGTCATTGGCGGTACTTACATGACACTCTTGGCAACGTAAGTAATCTCTTGGCTTGCTTCTAACGTGCATCGAACTAACAATCTCCAGCGTCTGCAATCTTGGCGGTACATTCCCGCGTTATTTTGTCCTGCAGCTTGTGGACAGCTTCACTGTGGCCACCTGCAACCCTGGAAAGCCCGGCAGCTCAGATACCAAGAGTCCCCTCATCACCGAGGCATTCTCGTGCGCTGTGCAGTCAGAGAAGGAGAGGTGTGAGGCCGGAGGAGGCACTTGTGAGATGATCCACGACGGGTACTACGTGGTCAATATACTGTGTGTACTGTTTGGCGTTGCCACCTTTTTGTGGTACATCAAGCCCAAGGTTCTGCATCTCCAGAGCCTGCCTCTGCGGGCGTGGAGGTTGTCACCGGGTAACGAGGGCAAGCGATGAGATCTAAAATAACGAGATTATTGTAATAATACTTGCATGTACGAGTAGAGAGATTGGAAGCACGCGCTGCGCATTGATGGCTGCTATGCCACAGGGGCCAAAGCATTCATTTTATTACCCGCAACTTTGAATCAAGATGCCACCATAGAATCCATAACGCTATGAGAAATCAAGTATGTGAGCTGAGGGCCACGCATTGAAAATAGCACTGTAGCCTTGAGGCGAACACAAGATGTCTACCTAGTCAGAAACTAAAGGGTAAAAGAAAGGTGACGAAGGCGTCGCTTCGGCAAGTCGTGCTCGGGCATCAGCAATATCCTGGTCAGTCAAGGTCGCCCCATTGTTTCTCAGCATGTCAGTGTAGAAGGCGATATAGTAGTCGCTCATCTCAGGCCAATCGGCCGGGACTGGTCCCCTATGGCTATACTTTGGAGGCTCAGGCCCGGGCTGTCTCTCATACTTGTCGCGAAAGATGTGGTACTTGGCAAGGGCGTGGTATGGATGCCAGCGAGGACGGTTTTCTGGCGTGCCGTGTATAGGCAGGGGACATGGCGTTTCTTCTCCTGGACTGACGAGAAGGAACTTGACGAGGGAATCAAACTGGTCTTGGGTAGGCGGGTAGAGTGTTGAAGGACCCCGGAAACGGAACCCATGAATCCACATGGCCTTGCACTGTCTGGCATATTAGTGACGATGGGCACCCAGTTGAGTGCCAAGAAACATACCTCTTGTTCAGTCTCGCCGCGGTCAAACACCACCACGCCCCCAAAGATCATGCCCTCTGCCCAATAGCCGGCAACGTCGGCGATGCCTCGAGGGTACTGTTCTGGATACACATATGATGGGTGAAAGAAGGCAGCTGGCGGGATGCTGTACATGCTCCTGGCCTTTCCAGGCCTTGACTGCAAAATTGACTCCATAAGCTGCTGCTGCATCCAGTTGTCATACACCTCGTGTTTGTGGGCACCATCGTCTAGCTCGAAGAGATAGGCGGCGATCTGATGGCAGGCGACGACGACAAGTTCAATAAGTCGTAGGTTAAAGTCGTTGGACCCTGGCACAGTGTCCCGAAAGGCAGAGAGAAGCTGACCTCAATTATGCGGTTAGCCTGTAACAGAACGGTGACCTCACTCATGCTAGGTCAAAAATATCAAAAGAACCAATCTCACATTTTCTTTAAATACTAGCTCGCAAGGGTCGAATCGGTCTCTGAACTCCCGAGCTTTATCAAGGAACCCTTCACATATTTCCGTGTGGCCCAACTCAAAGACGGGATGGGTTGTGTCAAGGCGGACATAACCCTCGAGGAATGATTGCTCTGTTGGCAGTCCGTCGAGGATCTGGGCATAGGCGTGCTCGGCGACATCAGTTGATAATATGTTTGTTAGTGCCCTGCGAAAGGTATCTCGGTGGCTCTCCGGCAGAGTATCAATCCTCTGCATGACCTCTTTCTTAGCTTCTGGGGACATATTTAGAGGGCTAGGCGAGAATTAAGAACTGGACGTGAGATGGACCGAGAGCTTGAATGAAGTGGTTGAGGACGTGGGAAGGCCGAGGTGAGGGAGGGGCCTCCGTTGCGGCTTTGATGCCTGAGGCCTCAACAGAGCACACCACCCACATGGAGTTCCCATTTTAGAAGCTCAACTGAACTCGCGGCGGCTGTCCAACATCCAGCGGCTATCTTGAACTCTTGATCAGTCACATTGTGTTATCATCCGATGTGTACCTACGCTCGCCGGCTAGCCAGGTCGAGCCCTAAGGTAGCTAGCCAACCTGCTATTGTTGGACCTCTCGAACTCTTCCACAGCCTGGTCTGGTTCGGAGCGAATCAAAGCAGCGGATTAGTATAAGCCCCTTCACTTTGGGCCCCTGCGACTCACCTGAACCAAGGCCAGTTCCCAAGACCAGGTAGCCCGAGGACATGGCCTCGAGGCATCACGATAATGGTCGCACGCTGCTGGTGAGGTCGAGCCAGACGGCCTCCTAGAACCAACATACATCCTTTCGCCCACCAACACAGATATCAGCCATCATGGGGTGAAGCTGGAACTGCCGATGGCTCTTGTATAGTTGCCTGCTGGGAGATAAATAGGCTCAAGGGGCCTCGTCAGGATTGAGTCGACAGACACATCCCAAGTTTACTACATCCTGTTATCCTGCGCTTTCTTTCCCAACTTTTCTTCTTTAGCTGCCTTCTCTTCTGTTGTTCTGCACAATGTCGCAAAGAAACCCCATGTTCTGGAGGGCCTATGGCATCAACGAGTTGGTTATCAACGAAACGCGTGATGTCAATGGACAACCACAGACTACCAGCAAGGAGGAAAACTCTTGGACGTATACGTTGGTAAGAGTCAATCATTGTTTGCCCAAGGAAGATACTTCTGCTCACAGCCGCCAGGTCGCATCTTCCATCAACCTCGGTCTCAAGATTCTCGAGACGCCCCAGGGCCGGGAGGCACTAGAAGACCTAGGCAGACACGTCGTTCAAGGGTGGCATCAGCTCGGCGTGCACCAGTTCGGAGGCAATGTCAACCATATGCGGGCATATGTTGACCACTTCCTCTCCGCGCTGAGGCAATCGTTCCCAAACACCTTTGTCGCTGACATTGGCGGACCTGACGTCCTGGCTCATGCCCAGCGAATGCCTCCCTCTCCCGTGCCGGGGGCTTCGTGGGACGGGAACCTTTTGGCATACGAGCCGAAGAAAGCAATAGGACTATATTTCAACTTGCCCGTTAGTATCGCCTCCCCGCATAGTTGTGCACAAGTGTGTACAGGTGTGTATAGGTATGAATGTCGACTTACCTTTGCCGTCTCTAGAGAGTTGCCGACATGGTTGGTGCAACTTCAGTCATCTGGCTGGATCGTGCGAGGGACGACCAGCGGGCCCGCAGAGAGCGCGCTAGGATGCTCAACCGGCACAAGGATTTCCAATTCATGTTTGGCGTCTCGACTGCCCACGAGCTCTGTCATGCCTTTGTGAGCTATCTCAGCCAGGGCAGTCCGTCAATGCTCTCCTACACTCCCCCCAACGTATCATATCTCAACTACGGGGTTCAGTACAGTGATACAAACGCAGAGAATGGAGAGTCGGGGCGATGGTTCGAGCGCAGGCTCTTTGGCGGCTCTCTAGAATTCTACCGTGATGATACCGACGACCACGGACAGGTGCGCCCCCTCTGGTCGCTGATCTAAGCTCGACTAACAAGCTATAGGTCGGCATGCTCCACGTCCTTGACCCAAACGCCAATGCCTTTCGAGTTAACCCTGCTTTCATAAGACAGGCCGTGGAGGATCCTACCCGTCAGTGCTGCCGACTGAATCACCCGGAAGCAAGCTCTTGCTAACACAAGCACAGGCTTTCAGTTTCCCTTGCCCGTTGTGGGAGCGGGTATTTCCGAGCGAGATCGTCAACGCCGAGGAATGCGAAGCCTTGGGAGCACCTACAGCGGCGGACCTCTACCTGCCGGGCTTATGTACATGAGGGCCCGCCGTGTTGGACCCGAGCTGAGCTATAATGTCTCGGAAGAGCAGCTGCAGATTATCCCAGCCTCGCCAAGGCCTCTGCGAGCGCAGAGGGTGCGTACTTAGTTAGACGAGGACAGTCTCTTGTTATGTATAACTGTAGATTAATTTACTTAAAGCTTCTCTAACTCGCCGAGGTTTTCCTAGCCGGCGCCGGCGCATGCGTGACCACCTTTGAAGCCATGTATAGGATCCAACCCGACAGTCTAACTGCGCTCCCGCTCCAGCATGATCTGATCACGGCCAACACGCAAGGGTGGTGGAACTGGAAAACCTTGGATGCTAAGATGAAATTGGGGTTTGAGATGAATTGCAGCGGGAGGGTACTTGTTTTAAAAAACGGGAAGTTGGATATCGAGATTGTGAGGGCACAATATCATGCGTGCGAGCTCTCCTGGCAGCGTTGAGATGTGTGGATGTGGGGAACTGAAGTTCTCACCGGACCACCGGCAGAGGGGGCGAACTGGATCTCGATGGACGCAACTTGAGATGAAGGGAGATGACACAGTCAAATGAAGTTGGATATCAAGAATAATAGATCAACCAGAGATACTAGAAATTGCAGCTGTGATATGATCCCCAACGTCCGTCTGTCGAGATGAAATGCCCCAAAAAACCCGCCGGGATGAATTATGCTTCGTAGTTGTGAGCACAGGGTGATGGGGGACCCTCTTTGATCATGAGGAGAAGCTGGAAGCGAGGATAAAAAGGTCGCCCACAGGTGATTTCCTAAATTTTCGATTGTTTACTTTTCATTCTCAATCAATTGAACTCGTCACCCATCCATCCATCTCTCACAATTCCCCTCCGCTGACCACTCCGGACACACCTCCGATCTTGTTACTCCACCCGCCCGTGTCCCCCCCGTCCCCCGGCCATGGCCGCTCCCGCTTCATCTACCGCCGAGGCCCTCGCCGCCGAGGACGTCTACTTCTCTCAGAATCCACCTCCGCGCAACCTCACGGCTCACACGGCCCTCGCCGCCGGCTTCATCTCGTCGCACGCCGCAGCCGGCCACCGCGTCGTCCTCGTCACCTCGGGCGGCACAACCGTCCCACTGGAACGCCAAACAGTCCGCTACATTGACAACTTCAGCGCCGGAACCCGCGGTGCCACCAGCGCAGAGTACTTTCTCGAGGCAGGCTACGCCGTGATTTTCCTGCACCGCGAGTTTAGCCTCCTGCCTTACTCGAGGCATTATTCACACGCTACCGATTGCTTTCTTGACTTTCTAGCCGAGGATGGTGAGGGGAGGATCGGTGTCCGGTCCGAGGTTGAGGACAAGATGAGAGGTGTTTTGAGAAAGTACCGCAAGGCTAGGGACGGCAACATGCTCCTGACACTTCCATTCGTCACCATTGTCGATTATCTACACGAGCTGCGTGAGATTGCTCGTCTCATGAGGCCTCTGGGCCCTTCTGGGCTTTTGTACCTCGCCGCTGCTGTTTCCGACTTTTTCGTGCCCCCGGATCGCATGTCGGAGCACAAGATTCAGTCGACTAATGCTGTGGATGAGAAGAAACCTGATGATGAGGAGACGTTTGACAACTTTGATTCATCGCCTTCAGTCCCTCGCTCCAAGCGTCTTGTCGTTGATCTCGACCCCGTGCCCAAGTTCCTCAAGAACCTGGTTGACGGCTGGGCCCCTGAAGGCATGATTGTGTCTTTCAAGCTCGAGACGGATCCTGCCCTTTTGGTGCGCAAGGCTCGATACAGCTTGGACAGGTACCAGCACCATCTCGTCATCGGCAATCTCCTATCTACGCGCAAGTGGGAGGTCGTCTTTGTGAGTCCCGGTCGCGAAGACCGCTGGGTTCGTGTACCTCGGGAAGGCGGCTGGGGAGAAGCCGAGCTGCGACCTCTAAAGGCCGAGGAACTACCCCGCGAGGATCCCGGCGTCGAGGTTGAAAAGCTGATCATCCCTGCTGTGAAGGAGTTGCATGATGAGCACATCAAGGGGTTCACCAAGTGAATCGCCTATAGCTTTTGAGATTATGGGTAATGACGTGAGAGCAACATTTTACATGACCTCGACTGAAATGGGTCGAGTTATACAAACGTGGTTGTTCGAGTTTCTACAAAAAACACAATAGACATTATATTCAGCTTTTTACTATGCTCAACTATGTACAGAGAATCCAATCCGGCCGTGCCATTTTTATCTTTATATGGTTCATTTTCCTTGCCCAAACTCCTTTTTTCCAAAACAGAAATGCAAATACTTTTATTTTCGTCATGCTTTTGTTCTTCCCGGGTCGTCAACCCCTGTTCAAAAGTTCGAGACCCATGCAAATGTGACTGATCTCGTACGTTTGGACAATTGTTGGTGCCTGACGTCCCCTGTTTAGAGCGCAGCCCTCCAGTTGTGCCATCCAAGGAGGTACACCTTGGCCATGAAAAGTGCAATCACGGAAGCAATGTACACGGCGCCAGTCAGGATGATGAGACCCCAGTACTCGCCGCCGTTGGCCTGGACGATGCTGCCGGCAATCGGAATACCAATCAGACAAGCAAACGACACAATTGTGTACGAAGTAGCGTAGTAACGTCCATACTCTTGCGTCTTGCAGAGCCTCCCGATACAGACAGGGGCAATGGCGATGCTGGTTCCGCTCGAGAACCCAAACAGTAGCGTAAAGACGATGATGCCGGCCGTGCTGGAACCCAAAGGCAGCCACACGCAAAAGCATGCGACAATGGCGAGGATGACGGCGAGAATGCTAACGTTGAAGGGACCGATGACGTCTGCGTAGTAACCGGGCAAAATTCGACCCACGACCGAGCCAGCGTTGAGGATCGGAATGAGGTTGTAAGAAAAGTCACTACCAAAGCCCTTGTGCAACGCATAAGTCGAAATGTAGCCGAGAGGAATAAAGAGGGAAAACTCGAGCATGAAGATGCCAATGGTGGTGAGGAGGAATGGCATGCTCTTGAAGATGCGAAAGTTGGGGTGCGCCGTGGCGTCCTTGGCCGGAGGTAGGCGAGACTTCAAGAGACTGATGCCCACCAAGCTGCAGCACAAGCACACGAGGGCAACGACTCGGGTTGCCCAGCCATAACCAATCTTTTCGATTAGCGACGTCAACATGAAAGGGTAGACGATACCACCCAATCCACCAGCCGTAGATGCGATGCCAGTTGCCAAGCCACGTCGTGCCTTGAAGAAGTGACCGACAGCGGCGATCGAGGGTGTGAACAGTAGCGAGGTTCCAAAGCCAGTAAGCAAACTCCATGCGACAATGAATTGCCAGAGTTCTGAGAGACATCAGCATATTGAGGTACAGTCAGTTAAAGGGTTCACTTACCAGTGGCGAAACTCATAAACACCATACCACCAACCGTAAAGACAGCTCCGGCAATGACGAGCCATCTCGGACCGTACTTGTCAAAGACAGGCCCAATGTAGACACCGCAGAAGAATGCGAGAAAGGTGTAGACGGAAAAGACCCAACCAACAGTTCCCTCGCTATACTCCTTGAGCTGGTTGTTCAACACGTAGGCCTGGAAGGTGCCGAGAGTGTTCATTAGTCCAAGTGAAGCGAATAGGGTGAACCACGAACCAGCGACCACGGACCATGCCTGCAAGCCGCCCTCGGGATACGTCTCTTGATAGGATGCCGTCGATGCTGTCGTCCGTTGCTTCTCGAGGTCGGTGCCCGGCTTCACGTCGCCTCCATCGATGTGGTTGACATGGTCGATGATGTCGTTCTCATCGTGGAGGGCGCGCGAGGTGACTTGGTGACAATCCATGACGTTGGAGTTGCTCGGTGATGTCGATTTTCCTTCTTGTTTGCTTCTAGTTATCCAATTGATGTCGTTTCTTTAAACTGGCAGCATGTCGACTTGTCTCGGGTTGTCAGGAATTTCCAGAGCGGGGAGGCAAAAGAGGAAACCCTTGCCGGGAGGTCCAAGTTATAACTGCCTCTGTAGAGTCGGGAATCGGCGCCGTCCCGAGCCAAGAGCAAGGCCCGCTTTCGGAGGGTGGGTTTGTTAACATAGGGCGCTGGGCTGTCGTGATGAAAAAAAGGTAATGAAAATTCGTCATTTGCTCGTCTCGCTCCAGCTCCACCAAACCAGTGGGCATGCCATGGCATCTCGAGGTCATCCTTGACTACCACCATCTCCCTCAGAGCTGTTCTATTGGACACGCCCTGACGTCTTCTCCCTCCGCATGTGCGGATGGAGATGGAGGCGCACTTGGACCTCCGCATTCTCTCTTCCGGTGAACGGGTCCTTTCCCCGACTTTTCCACATGCCGCTATTGTAGCCGAATATCGACAAAAGCTGACTAGAGTGAGCCAATGCCGTTGAGTCACTTCGGGTTGTAACCATTCCTCGGATTTCCCTTGTTGCATCCGTGCATCATGCATAAGATCGGCCGAGAAATCGGTCAAGAACTGGCTGCCGTCATATGCATTATTATTTGTCAATTGCATCATTAGCATCTTGACAACCAACTGAACTAACCTCCACGGCTGAATAATCAAATCAAGCCTCCTCATCCTCCACCTCCTCCATGGTCACATGCCTTGATGGCGGGCCTCGTTCTGCTTGCCGAGATGCATCGTTGTCGCCCGTTTTGAGGTAACCTTCCTTCTCCAGCCGGTCTGCCTCTTCCGGCTCCATCAAACCGCCTTGACCTTGTCCCTTGCTCATCTTCAACTTGACTGCTGTAGGCACGAATGCCGAAACTGCTTCTTTCCTGAGATCGCGCACAATTGGCTTTGCCTCGTATACCGTCTTGGCCTCGACAGGAGGCGCCTCCTTCTTCGGCGGTCTGTCTCCTTCGTCTTGTCTTGGGTTCTCTGCAGCTCTTCGTGCGCGTCGCTCCGCCCACCATTTATCCATGACATCCTTGGGGATAGGGGGCGGTGTATCTCGAGGCATGGGAATACTCTTTATGTCGTCGGGAACCTCTTCGTCGCTGGTAGTAGCATCGTTGGACCCTCTCCGCCTCTTTCCAAGTACTCCAGCTCCCGAGTCACGATCTCTGTTGAATCCTCGTCCAAACGTAGGCGCATTGTCGCCCAATGTGTCTCTTGCCTTCCTCACAGCTCGAATCTCCTTCTCGAGCCCTTCCAGCACCTGCTCCTCATGACGTGTAAGCTTGCCGCCACTCGATGTAATCTTTTTTAGGTCGTCAATCTGTTTCTGGATGCGGTCGGGGTTCTTTCGCGCGAGCTTTTCGTTGCGTCGTCCTTGCTGTTCGGCCTTGCCTAGAGGTAACGTTTAGAGAGGCGCGCGGGCTGCGTCTGCAGTGCAACATACCTTTTTTGATAGCCTTGACCTTATCAGCTTTGCGCTGAGCTTGAACTGGGTTGTAGTTTCGTTCTTTTGCCATCCTGAAGAAGTTTCGAGCTGTCTGACGTGTGCTATTGGATTGAAAATGGAGCTAAAAGGGATGTAGGCCGTAAATGAGACTCCAAGACCGATTTAAAATGTCGAGGACGCGTCAAGTGTTGTTGTTTTAAGGTGAATGGGGATGCGACTGTCTTTGCTCGTGGGGCATGGCAGGAGCCTCACCACCTGTCGCGATCCCCGGCAAGCACGGCCCACCTGCTGACTAAGATCTAAACCGGCAACTTTGACCTCCTCCTCTCGTCTCATGGTTGATACGTGATATTATGGTGGAGGGCACAAACAGGAGCTGATGGATACTATAAGCTGTGACAAGGCGAGAATAGTGGCCGAGTTGACATTTTTTTTTCTTCCGAGACTAATATGCAATCCTCTCGATTGTCCATGCAATCTTGACGAGAAATCTTGTCATCCTTGAATACATCGTTGGGGAGGCCAGCAGCGCCCCATAAATTGGTAGCGTCGTCGAAGATGAGAGAGATGGCTCCTTGTCCTCCTCGCTCTTGTAGGCGTAGGTGATGGTCCAATCTGGCCAGATGTGTTCGCCATATCTATCCGGACCCGGATTCATGTTGACCCAGCGCTTATAAGCACCCGTTTTGTTGGAGACAATGGCTATTGAGACCTCGCCGACCTCGTTGGCTTGTGCATAGTTGATCGAGGTTTCCCCTATGTGGCTGCCAGCGTTAACTGAGAATCCTTCAAGGCCTAGGGCGAAGAGGGTAATGAGTGTGGCCATGATAGGATTGGCTCGTGTCTGATAAGAACTACCTATACTGAGATGCAGCTGCACCAGACTTGTAATTGAGTCTCGGTGTCGACAGTTCTTGCTCAGGGCTCTCTACATCCCGCAAGACCGAACAACCTTAGCCCTTGTTGAGCTTGGATATGTAGTATCCCCTTTGTATGACATGTAAGCCTCCAAAGCCCCTTGAATATTTCCCGCAGCCGTTGGAGTCAGCGAATTTATGACTTTGACGATTCTTGCAGCTGAGACAGACGCCCCCAAAGTCACCCATAGCCAACAAGATCGTATGAACGGGGCTCGTGCTCAGCGGCATACGAGCTGCATCCCAGCTATGTAGCGGCAAAAAGACCCACAGATGCGATCCTGCGTGCTTTGACTTACAGGTGAGATCCTGGAAAGCAAGGACCTGCGTCTTGTAGAGTGGTCCCTTGCGGAGATAGTGATCCTGGAGGAGATGAGTTAAGGGTGACGACCTGTAGGATAGCTAACACGGAACGACGTATCGTCACTTGGTCGTGTTGGCCTATCGAAACAATGGCATCATGAACTATACGATGGGAAGTTGACGTTACCAGTTCTATTGTGTTCAGCACATGCCCAAATCCTTTTTTCAGTCAACTCACGACGTTTAACATTCTCTTCCATCGACGACACTCATTATTGCCACATTCGTTTCTATCTCTTCTTCTCGAACCATTCAGCTTCGCCCATTTGAATACAAACGCCAGAAGCTTCGTGTTCGACTATGATCTCGTTCATTGTGATCTTTGCTCTGCTCCTCGGCACCATCAGAACCTTCGCCCCCCGAGTTTCCAGGAACACTTCCACCAAGGCTGATACGACTTACTCGATTCTGAATCCCGTCGCTACGTGGGAACTGGCCAATCCGACCGAAGGTGCCGAGTGGCCTCCCCAGAGGACTCAAGAAGGTCAATCAAGTAATTGCAGGGACTGGCACAAGGTCGAGCATGGCGATACTTGCGAGTCGATCACTTCAAACTATGGAAACTGGAGAATGACTGTCAATGAATTGTAAGATCTTGCCCACAATACCACGCGCACAATGGAATTAGCTCACAGTAGCTAGCAAGAAATGGAACCCGGCGGTGTTGGACGACTGCTCAGGGCTCTTCATCGGGTGGTGGGTTTGCATCAACGCCCCCATGAAGCACACTGCCACAAAAACCATTGGCTTCCACCGCCCCAGCACGACAATCTCCATCCTTGATTATACGCAAAGGCCCAGTTCTACCACTGGCTGGGGCTGGACACCCTCCCCCACCCACGAGGGCGCCTCCAAGAGTTGCAAAGCATGGCACCAAGCCAAGGTGGTGAGAACATCCATGCCAGTTTGTATTGCGATGATGCGATGAAAACACACACTGACGGCATTGAAAGGGCGATACCTGTGACTCCATCACCAATAGGGGATACATCTCCAAGGAGGACTTTTATCGCTCGAACCCTGGAGTCGAGTCTCAGTGCGATGGTCTCGATCAGGGGTATTACTACTGCGCCGCCGCCCATATGCCCTGGGAGAAAGAGTTCCCCATGCCGTTGACAGTCACAACGGAGCCGACTACGGTACCTTCTGGACAGACAAAGCAGTGCAAAGCCTGGTACAAGGCGGCTCCTCACGAAGACTGTAATCTCATCGTGCTCATGTTTTATATGTTCTCTCTCGAGGACTTTGTCAGTTGGAATCCAAGCGTGGGCAAAGAATGCTCCAATGGCATCGTAGAGGATCAATGGTACTGCGTCGAAGTACCTGGTTCTCCAACCACGAGAACGGGTATAATACCTTCTCCTACACCTGTCCCGAAGGAGGACCAAACACAGAAAGTCATGGCCAAGAACTGCAATAAGACGTGGCAGGTAACCAAGTAAGTTGTCCTCAACCCTCAAAATGACAGTGAGTGGTATTCTGATGTGCACTTACAGGCATGATACGTGCGACAGCATCATGAAGCACATGGGGATCACCAAGGAGCAGTTCTTTGCGTGGAACCCAGCCGTTGGCGATGACAAGAAGCACACCTGTGACAATCTTAAGGTTCAATACTGGGTCTGCGTAGGAGTGCTACACACTGCAAGCAGGTTCGACAAGACCACTGCAACTTCTGTTCCTGCAGCCCCTACGTTTACCTCATGGCTGAATTCGACCACCCTTGGCTCTCGGAACACAACCGCAACCAAGACTGGTCTTCTAGATACGGCTTCTTCTGAGAGTCTGAAGAGCTCTCATCCAGACGCCACGTTTATAACCAAGACTAAGAGCTCTCTTAGAACATCAGACAGCACCCCTATGGCTGAGTATAGCGAAACCTCGGTCTCCAGAACCACAGAGATACAAGGATCCAAGCCTACTGAATTCAATCAGGGAGATACGACCGGTTCAAGCACATTGACGGCAGATCACACTACGACCGACTATGGCAAAACCGGCCGCGAAGATACGATTGTTTCAGCGACAGATTACACTCCTCCAAGGCATACCAAATCTACCCGACAAGGCACAACGCAGTTGAGCACTTTAACGGCGGAAATCAACGCCCCTGAGTGTACAATATCCTCCAATCCCTCGATGCAGTGGACTACTTCAAAGGTCTACACCAGTCGCGTGCTGACTTTTTACTCTTGTGCCCCTGAGGTGGAGACGTCCGACTGCCCAGATGGTCCTCACTTTACCACCGAGACCATTCTTATGTCCACAACTATCTGTCCTGTGACCAATATTGGTACGGGCTCCCAGCATACGCAGCCTGTCACTGACATCCTAGATGCCTCTACTGGCGTATACGTGCCGGTGTCCAACTCGACTCCGAACCCTATCCCGTCCCCCAGCGCACCAACTGTCAAGCATCCTAACACTACCGAAGCCATCGCTTCAACGCGGCCTTCGGCTGTGGTATCTGATGGCTTAGGTTGCCCAGCCCCTGTGGATACGCCTTTCCCCCATGAGGTAGGAAGAAGTATTGAATCTCATACTAAATCCTGTACTGATAAGACCTAGGATTGTATGGTCGGTGCCTGCAAGCGATTCTACCTTGTCCAAGAAGGTGACTATTGCACAAAAATTGCGAGGGGCGCCGGAATCAGCAACGAGTATGTGTCTCCTCTCATTTCTTCCTAGATGCATTCGCTAACCAAATGATTCCAAGTGACTTTTACGAGTGGAACCCCAGGGTGAGCCGAGACTGCTCTGATCTCTATCTTGGATACTGGTACTGCATCGGGACCACAGGTCCGGCGGCCCGCATCTCCTCTGCGTTCCCGGAGCCGACTTGGTGAAGATAGGCAAGAATGCAGAAGGATCGAGTAGAAGAGGCGCATCTTACGTGTACGGGTTAATTAGTCTGCCCCCTAAGGTGAGCAACCCGCCATCGTATACAAGATATCCATTGGCTCGGGCTCCCTTTCAGGTGGTTCATAGAATCCTATGAGATTCTCAAGTCAGTAAAGCGCGTCCATATCTCGCAATAGCCATCCAAAGCCGGAGCATTTCGAAGCTCGCGCCAGAGACGCTCAGCTTTGTGATAGCGCTGCGTTATTAAGACTTGCCAGGACTATTGCGAAGAACTAGAGCCCAATACCAGCCGGCTAGGGTGGACAGCAGAGCGTAAGTTTTATGAGGGCACTCCAAATGAGCACAAGTACACTACATCTCTGACAGGCGACACCATAAACTACAACAAAGACGAATGCCTCGGTTCATTCAAGCACATCGTACACGAGCGCGACAGGGAGGATGACGATAACCCACTGAGCTGGAAGCACGGCAATAATTAGCAGCGTGGCCAGTACGACTACCGACTCGATATTAAGCGGAAGAATCGACCCCAGAACCTCAAGGAGCCTTATGGCACAAGCCGAGGGAACAACCCCTTTTGGTATGCTGACTATACAATCTATGGTGAGCTGCAGATACTTCCCCCAGGAATGAGCTGATGCTGACTGAGACCTCTAGTTGCTGGCTTCTCTAGCTAGGACTACGGCAAGACGCTCCTCCCAAGCATCAAACACTGTCTTGGCGAAGGCGGCACGGAGTTCGAATTTGAGTACTTTAACGGGTCCAATCAGTTAGGGCAAGAGTGGCTGGCGATGTTCAATACACTCGGTCTTGTCAATAGTCGATTTCAAGGATAACAAGGTTGTGTTTGCGACGCATGGATTTACAAATAGCTGTAAAGGTGATAATTCCCAACATGTTGGTCATGTATGTTGAGTTAGTGTGGATACGTAGGAATTGAGAAGGATAATACTTGATGGTGTTGAATGCCCGATGTCAAGTTTTGGTCAAGTTTTGGTCAACGATATAGAAATTAATCCCCTGTAGAACAAGTGTGACATTGATGCAGAGTAAAATCTAATCCCATACTGACCTTCAGAGGATAATTATGCTCGAGTTGTGAGGGCATTGAGCAAGTTTGACTTTGACCTTTGGCTACCCGGGAGCGTGACGCTTAAACCTCGGCTAAGCGAGCTCTCACTCAACGCATCGCGTTCATCTACTCACTCTCACTCATTCATTCTCTTACATATGACATTAAAGATACCCCAAACGCTGATTGTAAACTAAACAAAGTCAACATTTTTATCTTCTCCATCAACAGACCTAATAACTTCCTCTTTTTTCCCTCTTTGCACTTCGGACCGGTACACAACACCCAGCTCAGCCCCTTTCAAGCCACCAACTCAACATCACAAGACAACCATCCACATCGTCAAAAGACTTGAGACACACTTATCCGAATTCTCCAAGACAACTGCTCCCACGAGCAAAATGGTGGCAACCGGAAAGGTTGCCCTACCGGAGCACTGGACCGAGCTTAGTGCGGCCCGGATACAGCGCAAGAGATGTGCCGACGATGTCGACGCCATCAAGAAAGCATGCCTAACGGAGTGCGGCCAGCGACACGTGGTGGATTGTGAGAAATGCTTCCCAAAGACCCTAGATCGCATGCGCGCTAGGTACTGCGAGGCTGAGGGCAGAGAGTGGTTCACGCAGCGAACGGCGTTCCTTAATGAGCTGGACACCTTATTCACAGACGTTAAGGACCACAAGATCGATCTCAGGTCTATCGAGGACAGAATCGAGGCGGAGAAGGAGGCCTGGTATCGATGGGTGCTCCGCATGTATCCTCAGTTTCTGTCCGCTGCCGACAGCGGTGCCGACCAGGATGAGTTGAGGGCCATGCTGGATGACCCGGACAGGTCGCGCGAAGAGCTTATTGAGAGGATCTGGGAGGGCGTTGGCAAGGTTTCAAACTGGTCTTCCGAAGTGGACACCATCACGCGCAATGTCGAGGAGGACAAGAACTACGGTGCAGATCTCAAACAGCGCTACATCGCATGGTTCTTTAAAGACAGATTGACCGGGGCGCTGCTCGAGCACGCGCAAAAGTACCTCGACGCGTACGAGTCGAGCGAGTCGATGACCATCGAGGAGGTCATCGACCGCATCTCGCAGGACCGCAAGGCGAGCCTCAGCTCGCAGCCACAGAGGGATAGCCATAGGAGACGGTTAGATGAGCTACGAAGGGCCAAGACGGCTTTTGAACATAAGCAGAACATGGCTAGGGCCCAGGCGAGCCAGACTCCCGTTGTGGCCGAGGAGCTTTACGACCTTCCGCCATGCGCAGTTTGTGGCGGAGCGGCGGACCAGAAGAACGTTCTCTCGTGCTCACTGTGTCAAGCTGTGACGCACCTGAGTGGCCAGAAGAAGTTGACGGTGTATTGTTCGGAGGAGTGTTTTAACAAGGGACACGTAAGTTGTCAAGTCTTCGTGTAGGGGTGATGCTGACCATAGCAGGAGGAACATATCGAGAAGGAACACGACTGTGACGCGGGAGAAAGATGTGTGCAAAACTACGACGAAGATACTGACATGTCGGACGGGGAATATCAGGCGGTTATTTGTAAGGACTGTGTTGAGCAGAAGGAAGCTTCACTATTCTGCACAGAGCGGTGCGCTGCGGTGAACCTACCCCGGCACATGGAAGATAAGCACGGAAAGACGGTCGTGGACGAGGTCAGGAAGTTGGCGGAGCCGCTGTCGGAGCTATTGGAGAAGAGGTTGAAGGAGAGTAATCCGGGGTTGAAGATTTCGCTGGCCGGATGATCTAGTTTTGCTATGGCAATATTGGACGAATATATGCTGAGATAGGCCCGAATACAGGACTTGCAAAGTACTGAATGTTAATTCTAATAGCTTTTACATACCATGTGAAGTCGAATATATGCTCACGGGGCTGGTGGGTCATGCCGGAATGCATGTGGTTGTGGAGCCGTCTATATCCGATCGTCTTCGGCGATTGAGGTCCCGTTCGGCTCCTCTTTACGCCGGCCGCTGGACCGCAAAACCTCCGTCATCAGCACCTCGGAGTCTTTTTTTCACCTTGTCGCATCCATAAAGAAGGGGTGAAACCTCTCCACGTGTCTATTCTCTCTTCTTCACGACGCAGAGCTCATCGATTGTCCGCTGTAGCCATTGCCTCCGTCATGGAGAGCGAATCTCCTGCCACCGCCGGCGGTGCTACCCCCGTGCGCAAGAGGATCTCTACAGCCTGTGAGGCGTGTCGCGTAACAAAGATCAAGTGTCAGCCGAGTGAGCAGCCTGGTGTCTGTCGCAAGTAGGTCTCCGTCGAGGTCTCTTGCTGAGGACTTCAATTGATGAATGTCAGATGTCTTGAGTCCAAGAAGGAATGCATATCACGAACTGGACCCCGGACACGCCGGAGGAGAACAAAATTGTAGGCTCACCACCACTCCCAAAGACTCGGGAACTCATAGTAATGGTCTTCAGCATCGTTGATGGCCATCAATCGCAATCTCAACCTCCTCCGCCACCAGCTCCGTCAAAGACCTTCACCATCGACTTTGACGTTCCCTCGCTGCCAGAGGTTGACGAGAACTTTGACGCCCTGCGCGACTCACACGCTCAAATGATAGATTCCATGTTTCCATCGGATCAAGAGTCGGATGCCCTCAGTGCCCCGGACTCGCCGCCTACAGGATTCCCGACGCCTGGCTCGTCTAACAACACGCACTCTATTCAGTCCCTACATGCAAAGCCCCAGTTCAACCTCGACTCGGCGGCATCCTTATTAGCTTCGTTTCGGGGCATGTTGGTACACTATCCCGTTGTTTCTCTCAAGCCTGAAGAGACGGTATCAAGTCTGGCCGCTTCTCGGCCGTTTGTTCTGCTAGCCATCCTCTCGGCGGCATCCGGATCGAGGACACTGCAGGGACATACTCTTTACGACGAGGAGTTTAGAAAAGTGTTAGGCCTAAAGTTTGTCGCTGGTGGAGAGAGAAGCATGGAATTGCTTCAGGGCATTCTAATATACTGCGCCTGGTAAGTATTCTCCAGGTCACAGAGTAATGCAAGACTCAACAGTCTAGGTACCCCTTCCACCTCCGCCCCAAGAACAAGCAAGCCTTCCAATACTACCGAATGGCTGGCGACCTCGTCCACGACCTCGACTTAGAGGAAGAATCCCCCGAGCTCATCACCACGCCGCCCGGCGCCATGACGGCAACGCAGCTCGACCGTCTGCGCGCCTACCTGGGCTACTACTACGCCGTGTCAAAGTACGTCCTCGGCCACCCACATACGCGGCCCTCCGTTGCTTACCATCCCAGCTACATGACGGCGTGGAAGAGGATGGACCAGCTGGCTTGCCCCTGGACGCCCTGGACGGCTACGTGCTGCGATGTGCTGCAGCGGTGCGCAGAGGCTGATGGGGATCTTGCGCTGTGTTATCTTGCGAGGTTGGCGAGCTCGACCAACACGGCCAACAAATCGATTCGAGATAATAATACGCATTCGGCGCAGCAGGTTCAGTTGCTTTTGTTGGGACTCGAGGCTCAGCATAGGGAACTGAAGGAGGCCATGTTGCCTCATATAGCCCGGTCAGGTAAGCGTCCCTACCCCTATATCTAGCTCAAACTTATACGTTTCAGCGCCCGTAAGACTGGCAGATCTCTTCTTCGACGTCTTTCTTCAAGGCGGCTCTGTGTTCTATTTAACCCGCAAGATCGCTCCCCCAGGTCTCGTCCACCCTCCTGCGTCCCGCCTCCGAAGCTGCGTCACCAACCTCCGTGTCTTGTTCGACTACCTCACCGACCTAGGACAGTCAGGCTTTATGCCATTCACCAGCGTCGACTGGACGAAATTTGTCCTTGCCGTCATTCTTGCTGTCCGCCTCTCGTTCCCCATGTCCGAGGTCAAAGACTGGGATCACGCCTGGGCGCGCGAGGAGTTGCGCTTCGAGGCCTTCCTCGAGACCATGTGTGACGGAGCAGACCTGACGCCAGTGAGCACAAGGGTAGACGTCCTTTCCGCGGGACGCGTCGTCTTGCGTGTCGTAAAAGAAAAGTACGACAGACGGGTCGCCATGCTCAACATGACGGCCTCGCACGGGAAGGGACCCGGCCCGCAGGGGTGTCCAATGTTTGACCGCAGCATGGAGCCGTACATTTCAGCGTGGGATACGGGGTTCGACATGAGCTCAGTGATGCCACCGCTTCCGTCGCTGCAGCAGCAGCAGCAGCAGCAGGAGCAGAGCCAGCAGGAAGGACAGCAGGCTGTGTTCCATGACCTGTGGGCGACCATGACCATGGGCTGGGCGAATGACGGTCTGATGGACGACCAGGATATCTAGCCAGTTGTCCCCCCTCTCAAAAAGTCTATCGGATAATCAAACCCAGTCCCTTGGGTACCCCATGCGGTCTACCTACGCCTGCTGCTACCGTCGCAGACGGATCGTTCGTTCCGGTACCGGATACTACGGGACCAACAACACCATCATATGTGATACCCAGCTGCATGAGATTTCCCCCACGATAACCTATTACTATCCTCAGGATCCTCAACTCGAAACGTATGATCCCACCAAGCTCAACAAGAAGAGAAAGAGTCGAATCACACAAAGTACGCCTTCGTCACAATGACACCAAACCTTCAACAGCCACTCCTCCGATGCATCTCTCTCAACCTAGAAATCACCACCCCTGCATCACAACCCCTGTGAAGCCCTCGCAACACACCCTCCCCTGAAGGCTGCCCACCCCTTGGCGGGCATCCCACATGACATGCCTGCCTCATTCCCTTGGCGCCCCGTCGTCGCACAACACCATGACTGGCATCATCAAAGTTGCCCCCCCCCGTCCATCCCACCCTCCGCCCGCCCCAGGCTCGGCCCGCGAACCTGGGTATAGTGCCTCTGAAGCCGTGTAACCACCTCCTCCCCGTCACCGGTTTCCGGAATGTGAAGGAACGGTGCGTGGCACAAGCGCTTCGGCTCGATGCGCCCCGATGCGATGCATTCCTTGTGCTACGACCCGAGGCACCAGATGAGATGGGCGAGGTGTCAAGCCACCCAATGCTACCCTGCCAACTCCTTCAACACTTTATGCTGTAACTCGCGTCAAAGAGGCTTACCGGTGATGTTGACAGACATGCACATGATGTCGTCGACATGACTTGATGCATTCACCACTTGCATATTCCTCCGAGGATATCATCGGCTCCAGAACGCTCTGTTGGAAATTACTACTCAACCATATCATCCTTGCTAAGGAGACCTAAGCATTTAAAATACACTGCAACCCCTCGCTACAAAAAGAGCTGTCCGCATCTCCAAGTAGGTATGGATGCATAAACATGCACCTGACCGACGTGCCCGGCGCCTCAGATATCACTGGCACCCTACTCCGAGGTCCTCGACAATAGCTAGTGCCCTACTTGCCGCCCTGCCACTTAGACCAGGTTCAAAAATCCGACTGCCAAGGCAACTCAAGGCCCGAAAGGTCAACTTGCATTTATCCCTTTGCCAAGCGGGGGGCCGTTGGAGTGGGAGTAGTTGATATACCAATGTTAGATATGAGTCTGCTCAACAAGTCAGGGCAACGAGACCCATCCAACCTTGGAAGGGACAGCTTATGGAATCCAGTGTAGATACGAAGAACATGTCACTGACAGGAGGTATCTGTTTTATACCAAAAACAATGCTTCCTTTGATGTCTGCTACTTGGGCAGGTAATAGAGACTAACAAGTCGCCTCTACCAACCAATGCAATAGCTCTATATAATTGAAACCAAAGCCGCAACCGATGTGAGAAGAAATGACTTCGAGGAGGGACCCAATCTATCCGTGAAAGGCTTTCAACGCCCCTGGATATCGCTGAAGTAGGTCGGAAACCCCCTCCAAGACAACATGAACAGAACCAAACAATCCACCGCAGCAATGCAAGACAAGACAGATAGAGAAAGAGAAACGCCATAATCTGCATAACCTTCTTGCGCTGCCAAACACCCATATCATCCAATCCGAGTCCAATCCCATCCTATCCTATCCTATCCTGTCTTGTTTCTTCCAGAGATATCATGAACCTGACAGCACCCAGCCCTTGCCTTTCATTGTCCCATAAACGCATGCATAAACCATTCCTGCAACATCTTTCAAGAGAATGATCCAACGCCGTCCGGTGCTGGTTGCCCAGGAATGAAAGGAAAGCCTGCTCCATATAGAGGCGACCTGCTTGGGTTCCCCATGGTTGTCGGGGCTTGTGTGTTGAATCCATGTTCTCGTGTACTCGTTCGTTCCCATGACCGTTCCCTCCCTTGAATGCAATGTGACGCGGGACGGCCGCTCCTATTTCTTCCCATGCTCTGCCAATCCCACCATTTCCATATCATGCCAGAAAACTCCAATCTTTGACCAAGTGAGACGAGTTCGGGCAATCCAGCCCCTCCTCATGCCCTTCTTCCGCGCCCTAGTTTGTTGTTGTGCTTTGAGACGAGTACGCTTTTCCCCCGTCGATTTTTGGTTTTTGGATCTTTCCCCCAATGTCCATGCCAGAGACAAATGCAACTCGAAAGAACTCCAATGAATAGAACCAGATGCGTAACTCTAGCAGGTGGCGAGTTCAGGCGTCTATGCATTCCCTTTGCCTGCCGCAAGCACCGAGCCCAACCAAATGAATATGTGTAGCCGGCCCCCCACATGACGAGTCCCAAGCCGAGCGTCCAGTCTCTCGCAATAACGGAATGTGTCGTACTTCTGCTGTAGGCGAGACCGATGGCGCCAGAATTAGACACCCAACTGCCAGTGCGCCTTGCTCGATAGTGACAGAAAACGCCAAGAAGCTTCAAATCCGATGTATCCATGATAAACCAAGAGAAAACGCCATTTATGAATAATGCAGAGAGACCGAGAGCAGACCGGCTTGGTCTTGTCCAAACCAATCCAAAAGTAACGCTGAAGGGGAATCATTCAATGTAAAAACAACGCAAACATGCAAATAATACTCCGTACCATGGTGAATCGTGAATGTCGAAAACAAAACAAGGGGCAAAATAAGCATAGGCTTGAGCCCTTCATCAAACATAAAACAACCGCTCCTACCTTCTCGGGTTGAATGGATGCGACATTTTGGCCAGCATGGCCGACTTTGAGCCGTTGACACCATTGATTAGGCTGACGTCGCTGACGTCGGCGCCAGATTGACCGTTGCTGAACCCATAGATCGAGTTGGTACCGTTGACGGAGTTGAGATTGCTCAGATCTGGGCTAGAGTGACCGTTGTACCCATACATCGAGTTGGCTCCGTTGACGGCTCTGGGCTCATAGCCGTTGTACCCATATATCGGGTTGACCCCGTTGACATGGTTCATACCGCTGGACTCGATACCAACATGGCCATTGTATGAATACATCGGGTTCGCCCCGTTGAGTCCGTTGGGCTGACCACCAGCATGGCCATTGTACGCATACATCGTGGCATTGCGGTTGAAATTGCCCGAGTTCGGAAATCCTGCGCCTTGGGGGCCCCCCTGTGAGCCCCCTGGCCCATAATGCTGCTGACGGCCGCCCCCTAGACCGGGGGGAGCAGCGAGTCCCGGAGGAGGCCTGTGAGCTGTTGCGAAGCCGTTGACTGAAGCAGACATGGCTGCGTTCATTCCGCCTGGTGCACCACCGTTTACGTGATTAGGATTCGGGTTTGATCGCACACCGAGGGGGTTTTTGGAAAAGCTCAATCGAATTCCACCCTTGGTGCTGTTGTGGAGTGGGTGCCCATAGAGATCGTGCAACGCTTTGGTGGCGAACGATACCTCTTCAAACTCGACGAAACACATTGGCCCGTTCGCCTTGGTACGGAAACAGAGACGTTTGTATCCACGTTGCTTAATGAAGAGGGCCTTAAGCTCTTCTTCTGAGGTGTCGGCAGGGAGGTTGCCAACGTAAAGAGTATTGCAAGGGGGATTCTGATCGGCGGGATTGACTGGTGGGAAGTGCGGCCTATGCTGTGGTGGGCTCATGGTTTGAAACGACTGTGGTGACATGACACCCATATGCGGAGGCAGAGACGATGGTCCCGATGGTGTCGTGTTCTTGGTGTTGATCGAAAGTCCACTCATGGCTTGGACAGGAATAGCCGGGTCTGTTTTTCTCCTTGGCCCATCAGTGTACTCGGCGTAAGCAATGGGGTCCTTCAAGATAACGTTTGTATCCTCGTCGTCACCAGAATCGTTGGCAATTAGCGTCTTTCCTGATATCCGGCCGCGCTCCGTAACATGGTTGCCGATTGGCGATTGGGGAGAGAAGAGGTTCTGGTAAACGATGCTCGTGTCTGGGTTTGGCAGTTCGTGCCCAGTATATATGCCATTCGGCGGAGGTGGGAGGGTCTCGGCTGGGGAAAAGACACCGTTGATGCGCGAAAGTTGCCTAGGTCCGGATGTTGAAGAGGATGGGGTAGCAGATGGCGTCAAAGTCGAGGCATTTGAAGACGTCTCGGTTGAATATTGTCGTGAAGACCCTGGGCTATTCGAAGGCAGTAGCTCAACAATCAACTCGGCATCTTCGGCGACTGTGCGCCCATGTAGCATCTTCTGCGCTTCGTATGCACCCCCTGCGGATCGGAATTGCAAGACTGCTGAGATGAAGCCGGGATCCTTGGACTGATCGTGGGGGAGTAGCTCGATATCTACTAGTTGTTGGGAGAAGACAGCCATGAGTCGCACCGAGTCCTTCGAGGTATTGAGGGGCAAGCGGCGGATCAAGACGGGATACAAGGGCGAGGTCGGGCGAGGGAAGTGGGCAATCGCAGATCGAGGCGCGTCGCGCATACTGGATGCATAGAATGACGACGGTGTCACAGACTGGAAGTAGCTCAAGGTTGTCGACTGTCCAGAAGCGCTAGACAGGCCGAATGACGAGGCCAGAGTCATGGCGGAATCGGCGGGGGTGTTCGCAGATGGGTAGGCTGCTGAGAAGGGAGTCGCGCGGCTGGGCTGGCCGGTCGTTGGAGACGCAGCTGTTGTCGCGCCGGATAGTTCTGTCATCGCCCGATATGCGGTTGCATGCGCTGGAACAGAATCTAATTCGCTGGTGGTGGAGGATCTGGGGTCAAGCGGATGCGACGATCGTGGAGATATATTAGATGGGGATTGGTCGCGATCGCGGTCGTAGTCGCAGTCGCTATTGTTGTCGCAACACGGTTCGAGAGGTTCGAGACGAGTCAACGTCGACATTAGCGGGAGATGCAAGTGGCGATCGACTGCTAGTATAGATACCAGTACTGAGACGCGGTCGTGATTTGGCGCAAATCTGGATTGAGGTGACAAGCAAGGGGTGAGAAAGTGCGCGGGTGAAGTTGCGCGCGTCGAGTCTAGCCAGGAGGATAGATGAGAATCCAAGTAGTTGAAAAATGTCGAGTAAGGTTGCAAGAGAAGGATAACTGAGATGCCACAAAGCAATGCGAAATTAGCAAGACGATGGCCAAAATGCGCAATGAAAATGGCGTCGTAAGGAGTGCGACAGCTTGTCGCAGCGGGCGAGTGTGGTGCAAGGTGAAATGAATGTCCCGTGGATGGAGATGATGAACGATGCAGGAAATGGGGGGGAGGGGGGGCCGTTGTAGTTAATGTAGGGGCGCCAGAGCCGACTCCAGCAGGGGAAGTGAAAGCAACGGTAGCGGCAGTGTGCTCCGTAGTGTGTCTATAGCGGATCGAGGAAGAAGGGCTTGAGAGACCCAGGGCTGTGTGGGAGGAGGTATGGCTGTTCCGAAAGCCAGGATGGCTGGTATGTGACGGAGATGCGCCGGAGGGTAACACGGGGGTTCTACCTTAGTGCCCGGATGAAGCGAGGGAGTCAACGGCTTGTGTGGGAGGGAGAGTAGGAGAAGGAGAAGAGTTGGTGGCCGGGCGTGTCAGAGGGACGGGATGGACAGCAAGATTGCCAGCCTGTAGGTACAGTAGTAACTGGGCGGGCAGATAATTAATCTGGCAAGGCAAGATTGCGCCTGTGTGAGCGTCTCCAAGCTTGAGCTCGCGCGCGTATGTGGATGCCAGGTTCCTCTTGCACGATGCAGATGGATGGAGGGAGGGAGGGGAAAAGGGAGGGAGGAGAAGGGGAATGAATGGGCAATGGGAATGGAAATGGAGAATGAAGATGGGTGGTGTGGGAGGGTAGCTTGGGGAGTGAATGAGGTGTGTGATAGCTTATGGATGTGTGAGAACTTACTGCGTGAGAGAGGGTGACAGCGGGGGGCAAGGGCCGCGACAATCGCCAGTACCAGTGCCAGTGCGTGCAGCGGCGTGGATGGATATGATCAGGTACTCAGACTCAGTCAAGCTGCTGATGAAGTGAGCGAGCTCCGTCTGTCCTGGGCCTGGGGTCTGTTGCGGATCGACTTCGTATCTTGGGCCTCCGCCAGGTCCTGGATCGCTGGGTCGACCTCGTGGTTAATTGGGTACCTACGTCCCGGATATCCCTGGGCCACCGGACCTGATCGTGCTTGGATCTGCTCTGTGCTCGGTCAGCGCGGCCTGGGTACATGGGCAAGGCACTGACTGTACACACTGATGCTAGTCAACGCGGCGACCGGGGATGAAGGGGGCTCCAGGGAGCTTGGACTGAAAAGGGTAGCGTTGAGTTCGCGATGATGGTGGGCTCTCTAGCCCGAAGGACGGATGCTATTGTTAGATGAAGTGTTACGTCGTAGTGTTGCTAGTGATGTTGTAGATGGCGGAGATGCTGGACGGAAGAAGGTTTTGCTTGTGTTTCCTTCTCCTCAGGTGGTTCCTGAGATGGCCCAGGTGCGCTGGTTTTGATGACAGCACTTTCCACTTGTGCTTTGTGCTCTCAGACTCGGAGCTTCTAAGCGTTCAAGTGCCTTGGCTGCGGAGTAGGAAAAATCTTGGCCGTGTTGGCCCTTAAATAAAGCTCTTCTGAAACTCAAATCGAGAGAAGAGGCCGGCCCACAGAGAATAGGTGATGCTGTCAAAAGGGAAACAAGCTCCAGAGAGGAGACGCAGTGCAGATGAGGCTGGGCTGCGTGATGCACTGGTACGGTACAGCTCCAGTTGCCGCATCGTGCCAGGGACGCAAGTTACTCATCGATTTCCCCGCCATCGTCACCTCATGTGTGGCTCGTGCTTGGAGGTTCTCTCTCCGCGAAGGAAATCTTTCCTTTCGAATGACCTCGGACAAAAAGAGAACCTAGGGACGAGGGGCAGCTCAGACTCGGCGGGCAGGCCACGGCAGGGGGAAAGGTGGTGTGGAAACCAGGCTCAGATGGGGCGTGGGCGCAAATTTGGTGTCGAGGTCGTTTGCTCAGTCCCCAGCGCTATCGTGCCAATCGGACGCCATCGCATCTCGAATAGTGGAAAGTCAAAAATGAGAGAGCCGGCTGGCTGGCGTTTGATGGCCCTTGGCTTGCCTGGGAAAGCCCATGATTTGTCCAAGGGTGGAAACGGTAGACTGGGCACTAAACAGGGAGACCAACGCTAACAGGCATCAAAGAAGCAAATTGCAGACCAAGTATGGGGGAGGGGAAGCGTCCAGTCCAGCACACTGATCCAATCTGTGATGGATGGATGGCATGCCCCAACCAAAACCAACATGACCGCTTAATCGAGGGCTTCAAGATAAATCGGCCGAGCAGCCGACCGTCCACGATACAGATGTAAAGATGAGCCCAGATTACGTCTCGTGAGTCAACAGTCGATGAAAGAAGCGTAACATGAGTCAATCTAAGATCAATGGCCATCATTGAGTACCTACCTACAGGCTGGTTGTTGGGACTAGGGTTCCCAGTATCTGCCGTACCTTCCTCCCGTCCCTGAATCCGGCGATGGTGGACAGAAAACAATCTGAGTGGAGAGATAGTGCTTGCTATTAACAACGACCACACTGCTTTCGATGTTGCACCATTGCTTCAAGAGAAAAACAGTACTAGAGAGCAGCGATAGAAATCTCTACTGGCTAGTTTTCCAACTTATCAGAGTCTATCTTGATAACAAAGCAGGGTATTCAACGTAGAATCTCGATTTTGACACTAGTGAGCTATTCCTTCCTTTCTTCTCTTCCATGACAAGCCGCACATGAAGTTAGAGCGATCCTTGGCTCTGATTGGTCTATGCCTCACTCCGTAGGAAGGAGGGGGGGTAGGATAAGGCAGGCACTGTAGCTGTAGCTCGCCCATGGCATGCCCGCTGCTTGATCAGCGGCCCCTCTACAAATTAATTGCCGTGCGTGCTGCAGCAGCTTCACGCCCGCCCGCCATCCATCCGTATCGCCATTTCCAACTGCGCCTTCGCCTCAGACTGAAACCAAGGGGTCCAGGCGTAGACTTTAATTCAACCTTTTGAGCAACCTTGCCTTTCCTTCCCGCAGGCCACGGCGGACGAAAAAAAAAGTCTTCACCATCGTCATCATCATCGTCAACCCGTCTGTGGCTTTGGCTGCTGAATCATGCTGTCCGGGACCTGTCCCGCGCAGCAGCCACAACATCACGGGCTGCGAGTCGACCACCTTAATAATGGATCCGCCGCAAGGTGCGTGCAGTGCAGAGCTTGATTTTGCAAGCATCGACCTCCCCCACTGACTTCATGAGGACAGTTTCATGGCAACCAGTTGAGCTGCGACGCAACATCGGCACCCGACGTCGAATATGAACAGGGATTTCTTCCTCCAGGGACAGACTCTATCACACCTGATGCGAAACCTTGGAACCACTGTCCCAACAACCCCCAGAAACATGTCGTCGGTCCGTCAAGCAACAAGCACTCGGAGAGGGCCTTGCTCTCGACATGACATGCTCGCCCTCGGTCGGGGCGTGTTGTCTCCGACAGGAGCCACGTCTACCCCCCATGTTCCAGGAGCCCGCCTTCACGTCGTCGCGAAATGCACAGGATTCTCCAAGGTGTCCTGTCAGGCAGGCTAGACCTCCCAGGGCTGCGGCCATGGGCAAGTGGGCAGCACGTAAGAGGAGGGGTGTGGGCAACCGGTGAACAACCATGCAGTGTTTGGCGGCAGGGGTATCAAGACTCCCTCCCTGCTTTCCCCTGGCCCTGTCAATCAAACCAACAGACAGCCTCATTGCACCTTTTTCCTTGGTGCTCCGAACTGATGCGTCTCCGTTAGGCAAGTGAGCTCCCACATGGGCGGAAGGGTAGTATTCATGCCAACCCAGTCGTCATGATGGTGTCGTTGAGAGCTGCTACCGCCCAGTCTCCGAAAACAAAGCAAGCTAGATTCGACGACAAAGCAACATCAACCCTCGGACGCCGCGGGCAAAGGTTGTGTGAAGCGTGCACTTGGCGAGTGTGGCTCCGTCTCGGTTGGTCCATCCTAATGGGCCCAAGATGCTGGCCATATTTGCTTCTGATATGAGCGAGCTTGTCTCGCAATCCATCCAGCGTCAACAGGAGAGGGCAAGGTGACGAAATGAGACTCAAGCGAGACACACTGCCCCCCTCGCTCGCATATGGGCAAAAGCACTTTCCAGATCACTGGACTTCGGATCGATCGAACGGGCCGCCTGCATCCACAGGCCCAAAAGCTGGCCCACAGGCGCCGACGGACATTTGGGGGAGATGGGACCCTGGTGCGCGCTAGCGAGGGCACCCGCCGAAGACGACATGAAACCGAACACCAGCAGCTCTGCATATCCGAGAACTGCAGTGCCGGTGATCAAGTTTCGAAGCCAGTCCCATGGGATGGTACACCAACGGGGGAACTCGTTTGGAGATGGGTCAGGTAACCTGCGGGCCGTGGCTTGAACAGCTGCCCTGCTACATTCTTCATCATTGAGGGTCATCGAGGGGTCCTGTTCGGCCTCAGT